ATCCATCTCTATCTCGAATCAACACCGTCTCCTTCTTATCTAATATGAGGCGTCATGTCAATCAACACCAAAGTTTAAAACGCGCGTATATTTGACATTGTTAAGCGCCTTTGTTCTGAGAGCGCCGACATGCTTATGGCGGGAATGTCAAATCTGTCATTATTGGTATGTGGTTGTTGCGCACGTGTCATGTTGTTGTCCACATGCCATGTTGGCGTGAGATAACATTGTTAAATTATTAGAGCATACGGACTATTTAGATTGGAAATAAGAAATAAGAAATCTTTTTACTTCTCATATATATAAAAAAAAAAAAAGACTAAAATCAGATTTCACCACCTCATATGTCAACATTCACCATCTCTTGCATCCTCTTTCTTTCCCTCGTTCTCTCCAATTCCCCTCTCACTCAGTTATCATCTCTCCCCCACTCTCTACTGATCTATATATGACCTTCTCTTTTTTTTTTTTTTGAATAAATAAGCACACCCTCTACAATTTTTATGAAATTCCGTAAAGAAATATGATATAAGTCATATTTTATTTATTATTGAAGAAGACAAAAAAGAGATAGAATTAAAAAATTAGAGAGGGAAGATGAGGGAGGTGATGAAAAAAAAAGGGGGGGGTAGGATAGTGTGCGCTAAACAAACAAATGATACGCAACATATAAGCACAGACCACAAACAAAATTATGTCCGTCTCGGTTTGGGAATAAGATTATTCGAAACAACATACTTCATAGGTTTACATTAAAGCATGTGCTTTCCTTCATGCGCAGACTCGTGGAGGGGGGGGGGGGGGGAGCAACGGGGCCAGGCCGCTTCCTCCCTGGCCACCAAAAAAAGACGGACCGCCCCATCCCTGCCCCCCAAAAAGTTTAAAAATAAGATGGTAACCACAAATATCCACTCTCGCTTTTTATCTATAACAAGGATAACATGATAACGGAATAGGGGCAGTGATGAGAGAGAGAGAGAGAAGCGAAAGCAATTAAATATCGAGATTCTGATATGTCTATTGATCTTTTTGTGGGTACGATGAAAAGGCACGAATGAAGTAGAAAGTTGGATTGATGACTGTATCTTGGAAATGTTGTAATCAACACACAAGTTCCAACAGACCGCGATATTTACGATTGTTACGCCTCTGTTCTGAAAGGGCCGACATGTGGAGGGAATGTCATAATAAATCTGTCATTATTGGAATGTCGTTGTTGCAACCGTGGTCAATGGTGAGGAGCACATATTTCCGATGACAAAAACATTTGTGTATTACAACATAATCCAACATTTTAGAATTGTTATAGGCACACAGCCAATTTACACCTGTAATCTCTCTCTCTCTCGATAATAATAATAAATCCAGATCTCGAATGAACACTGTCTCCTTCTTATCTAAAATGAGGGGTCATGTCAATCAACACCAAAGTTTAAAACACGCGTACATTGTTACGCGTCTATATTCTGAGAGCGCCGACATAGTAGTGGCGGGAATGTCATAATAAATCTGTCATTATTTTATTTATAAATAAGCACACCCTCTACAATTTTATGAAATTCCGTAAGTCGTATTTTATTTATAATTGAAGAAAAAAAAACACACACACACACACACACACACACAAAAAAAATCATTATTTATAAGAGAAGGAATTTAAAAAATAGAGAGGGTAGATGAGGTAAGTGATGTAACAAATTAAAAAAAATGATACGCAACATAAGTACAGACCACAAAGAAAATTATGTCTGTCTCGGTTTAGGAATAAGATTATATGAAACAGCATACTTCATAGGTTTTCATTAAAGAATGTGCTTTCCTTCATGCGCAGACTCATGGAGGGGGGGGGGGGGGGGGCAACGGGGCCAGGCTGCTTCCTCCCTGGCCAAAAAAAAAAAAGACGGACCCCCCCCCCCCCCCCCATCCCTGCCCCCCAAAAAAGTTTTAAAATAAGATGGTAATCACCACAAATATCCACTCTCGCTTTTTATCTAAATGTATCATTTCATTAGTCCTCCGATCTTTCAACACCCACCATCTCTTGCATCCTCTTTCTTCCTCTCATTTTGATCATTCAGATTCATCCGCATTTTCATGCAAAATATTTTCTTCATTTTTTTCTCAATCTTTCTTCTACTCTTTTTACCATCTTTAATGAGGCATCGTGTCAATCAACACCAACGTTTCAAAACACCGCGTATATTTGACACTGTTACGCGCCTTTGTTCTGAGAGCGCCGACTCAGGACATATTTGTGGCGGCCTGGCGGGAATGTCATAATAAATCTGTCTTCATTCTTTCTCAATCTTTCTTCTACTCTTTTCACCATCTTTAATAAGCTGAAGAAAAGAAAGAAAATCAATTACAATATCACCGACGCTTGAGAAATAAATAGTGAGAGAAAGACAGCTAGAAGCGAAAACAATTAAATATCGCTGATGTTACCGGAGTTTATGACAAAAATTAAGCCGTCGGAAAGAAATCAAAGTAAGTCCATTATCACCTGCGCTCGAGAAATGCAAAGAGCGACCGATCGCGGGAGAGACAGAAGCGAAACCAATTAAATATCTGTTGATTTCTATCAATTCTTATGGTGCATTCTATATCGAAACTCTTCCGGCACGCAATATCAAGAAGGTAGTTGCTGCCGATCGATCTCGCCTTTGTTTGGATGGCCTATTCATGGAGCATTCCAGAATGCACCCACAATGCGCCAATTAAGTCGTTAAGTACCGCATTCTAGGTACATTCTAGGTACATTCTGGAATGCGGATTAACAGAACAATAGATTCTGAATAGGGCATTCTACATGCATTCCGAATGCCAGTTGAATAAATCCGTGGCGCCTTACGTTCTGTGAGTTTGTGAGGGCTATGGTACTTTTTTTTATTTTTTATCGCTGCTTCATTGTAAATGATGATTATTGTTAATTGCTATTCACATTTTTGTGTCTTATAAAACTAGAGATAAGTAAATACATGTGGGACCTGCATGCATAAACTTTCCCCACACCCCACTTGCGATTCATTTACACAATAAAAAAAGCCACAGTCTACCATGTCATATATGTGAATGAGCCTTTACTTCTCTCAAAAAAATAGAATGTCCTTTTTTGGTTAGTCATTGTTCTTGCGTCCATTGTGCAGATGCAATGAGGAGGGGGTGGGGGATTATTGCATAATTGTATAAAACATTTTCCATTGATTTTTTGTCAAACACATTTACATGTATATATATATATATGGTTCCTTTAATAACCTGTCATAAACAGAATGCGTGATGTGTAGCTGTAGGCCTGTCCTCATCAGCTCATTAATATTGCCAAATAGCCTGCTATTTCTGATTTGGGAAATAATCCTGAAGTTACAAATCGCGTCTTCATCAGCTCGAGATTCGACCTCCAAACTTAAAACTCGACCTTGAGAAATTAACTTGAGATATTTTGCTAAGCGTTCGCGCAAAGTGCGAGCCTTCGGGCTGGTGAAAACGCACCGGACAAATAGCGGGATATTTTGCAAACTATTCTTAGATATCTTGGGATGAAATCTTGACCAAATATCCCGCTAATTGCTGATGAAGACGCAAATTAACTGGATAATTTGCGGTCGGGATAGTTCAAATAGTGGGATATTTGGCAATCTGGAGCTGATGAAGACAGGCCTGGTGAGACTCTGCGTCCTTGAGGCTCGTATGAGGCCAGTAGGGCCTAATGACTGATAATGATTGATGACAGCTTTTTGATAATTCACAACATGTACAGACGATCGAAACAATCGGTTGTGGTATGACTACAAAATGTCAACTTTAATAACATCTGCCAAGGGCCAGAACTACGTTAAGCTCATATTGTCTGTTTAGAGCCAAAAGGACGTTAATTCATAAACCTTTTGGTGGTGTGTTTGTTAAAAAGCACTATTAGGCGGTGTTTTTTCTCACCAAAGCGCAGTAAAGTATATTTATACAGTAGCTGTTTTATAAAAATTGATCTTATTATTAGTATTACTTCAACTGTTAAAGGGATTGGGTATCTTTGTCTCAGATTCTGAAACAAAATCGTGGATTTAGCTCATGCTGCAATCCTAATTATAAACATTTAGGTCAGTTTGGAACCCCATGACTTTTCAAGGCCGATCGCCTGTCTGATTATCAAGATATTTATGATTGGAAATCAACATTTCTTAAACCATTTGCCCAATGGTTTTTATAACACTACGGTCTATTGGGGGGTAAAGAGTATGGTAAAACCGGTCACTCAAAGATTTTTTTACTTTTTTGAGGCACTTAATGATCATTTAGAAGCGCAATTTTTGTAGGGCTTTAATATTAAACCATATCACAGACACTGATAACACGTAGGGCCATGCATCTCAGATTTAACATTGTTAAACGATGCAGAGTTGATGACCTTTTGGTGACGATACACTATACTTTGGCACCAAATTCTAACTCTCATCATGTGCTTTATTCAGGATGCCTCAGATACATTACATACTAGTGAACCATGAAGAGTCTTATCAACTGGCAAGTTCACAGCTTTTGCCAGACAATGGACTACTCATGTGCACATTTTAAGAGAAATCACCAGAAACCATTTTGTTCGCTGCTTTTCCTGTGAAATGAAGCATGATTTTTACATGATTATAAGGCCTAATAAAAATGATGTTGTATTGCCCTTTAGGTGCCAAAACATGGGTCGGTCAGTCGGAAATCTTTTTTTTTTTAAATACTTTTTTTGTCCCTCTTTAGGCTGATATTTCTCAGTTTTGAATGCTTTAAAACATTTTTTTTTTAAATTCATTAAACATTTTTGTTCTAAAAAATATAAAAGCAATTTTTTTTTAAAAAGCCGACTGTAGATTTCAAGATTTTTGGGTCAGTCGTAAAGGGCAATACAACATCATTTTTTTTAACGCCTAAGTCTGTTGCCCTGTCCAATTTGACCGACATTGCAGAATTGTCCCTGTAATGAAATACCCAAATGCATGCACCAAATTTTTAGCGATTACACTATGTAGGGTGTACATTAAATATGTAAGAATTATAGAAATTAGAAAATGTTTCCTTTTTGAGAGGTGAAGGAGACGGTACTTGTATCTTAGTAAGAACCTTAGGTTAATTATACAGTTTCTGTTCATATTTGTTCAAACTTCCAGAACATCCTAAAAATGCTCTAAAATGATTTAAAAAGATGCTAAAATTATCAACAATACTTTCTTGATGCAGAATAACTTCATTTAGTCCAAGGTCATCTCTGAAGCATATTTGGTTGACTTTAAGGCATTTTTTTCATGACACTACAATCCTATATTTTACCAAAACAATTTTAAACATCTTCTTAGTACTTTACGAAAACGAATGGTTGTCCTATCATCACATTGCAACTGCAGTTTTTGTTTTTAAGGTTTACATTCTGTTTTAATGCACAGCCAAGACAGTTACTACTAAACAGCATGGGATTATGTATCTAAGGAAACACTCTACACATGCTTAATGATGTGAACATATTCATTATGAGCACGGTACAGAATACATCAATATTGTGAGTGGATGTCAATGGTATTATTGATCTTTAGAAGCTGAACTACAAGACCTTTAGTGTGTTATTGTACAGGGCATTCATGCAATACATATTGTAGTTGTCTACTGACAATAATGATCCCTTTTGGGCATCCATATACATTACAAGGGGCAAGGTTGTTTAGATATAATATTTCTTTGTGATGCTGACATTACATGTATATGGATGATTTTGCGAGTAAATATTGATGTACTTTGTAATACCAGTCAAGTTTAATGCACTAAGGTTTGTACTCATATGCAAACTAACCATTACCATTTTTAATTTTTGAGTCAAAGTCCACCTTGGGTTCCTTGTAGTAAAATAAATTTTTGAAAGAAATTAACTTTTTTATAATTTAGAATTGTTTATTATGCATTACATAGTTGTTCAGGACAACAAAATAAGTACAAATTAACCAAAAATATGCTGTATATTATGTTTTTGGGACCACTAGATTCCCTCATCTTCTTTGTTCATTAAATACCTCTTATACAGCTTCTAACAGAATTCCTAGGCAGGCATCATTCATAGTATTTTCTAAGAGGCAGTATAAATTAAAGATTGAGGACTAAGGATTTTCTTACGTCATTATCAGAACTCATGATTAATTCCCTTCAAACTTCTTTGTCAATCATTTTTGTAGTGATTCGGTCAAGGGGAATACAACATTTTACCAAATAAGGAACTACTCCGGCCTCCACATACTTTTGATTGTAATTGGAATGAAATAACAAGAGCTTGCTCAACAAAGCCTCCCTTCACATCGATTTAACAACAATTAAGTTATTTAGAAGCCATTGCCTCACTCACAGAGCCAATTAGCAGTAACTCTTGAATAGTAATTAGCGAGGTATGAGATCCCCAGGGGGGAGGGGGGATCATGGGTTTAGGATCTGACCGGATTGACATGCTGGTGTGTGCTATGAGCCGCAGTGATGCAGGTCTGGAGGTCGCATCGTAGAGGAAGCTTTACGTTAGTCACAGATGGTATTCATGGTCAATACTACTCCACAGGAAAAGGTGTGGGTCGATGGTATGACAATGACAGGACAGCCCCTGACGATGTAAATTTGTACTATAACTTCTGGCTCATTTAGACATTGTCTTCAAAATTGTATTCCTGAAAGTTGACCACAAAAAGTCTCTTATTATGCACCCAATTTCCATTATTTTCCCTGACAGGAAATAGTACAAGGTGTGTAAATGTTGGACTAAAGAACAGTCAATTAGAAAACCCACCTGTTCATGTTATAGTTGTAGTATTCTGGCTACAAGTATTACAATTTACATCATCTTCTTTTTCAAACGACTTTTACATCAAACTTCCAGTACTTATATAACCATTCTAGAAATGTGATCAGAAATGATATGGGCATCTACAAATAAAATTCTGAACATTACAAAAAGGTCTTGTAACCTCCACTTTTGTATGAAGAATTCTCTATGCTATCTGGGCAGAGTAAAATCTTAGAATAGCATTTTAGCCAACACATTTTATTGCATACTGATAAAATGGTTTGGATGAAATCATCTGTTTGGAGCCAGAAGGGCATTATCACTGTGTTAAATCGTCAGAGTTAATGCCTTCTGTCTCCAAAGAGATGTTATGACAACTCTCTCGTGTAAAAGTCAATCTTCTGTGGTCATCTTCGTATATAGAAAATATATAGAAAATGTTTATAAGCACTGTAAACATATATTCATTTTAGACCATACATAAAAAACAAGTGAGCCTGTTCTGCAAACTACAATGTCTCATTTTGACAATGCTAATTCACTACTGCACTGTATATAGAGCATCTCCTTGGGGTTGATAATCATGTAGCCAAGCTTATCGTCATGGTCTGTTAGCACGATCATGTCATCGCTTTACTGAGAGGATGGGGTTGGCATCCAGTTAAAGATAAAGTTGAGTTCTGGTCATGCGATCACATTGTGAGAGAAAAGGTGGGGAATCGATCAGAAAAGGTTGATCATCTAGCATATAAGTATTGGTGTGTACTGCAAGGTTCTGGAACCCAGTCTTGGTAAAGTTACAAGCACTGTACACAGAAAGATGTATATGGGACTACACAAACATGTGGCATAAGAATTCGACCCAATTTTTATGATGTTACATGCCATATTTAGAATTGGTATAGAATATTAAGGCATTTGAAGAGCCATGTTTTTCAGGGAACATTTGTAATCTGATGTTCTTCCACACTTGCATAATACAATGATAATGCTCACAAATTATTTTTCACCTCTCCCCAGAACTCAACCTTCTCTTTAAGATCTTGTAGTATTCGCTCTTGTTATACAATACTCTGCACCATATCCCTCCAGCATACACCACAGCTTGTGACAATGATTTCTTAACTCTGGAACAAGCTTCCACAATTCATTGATGTAGATGATGCCATCCTTTTGTTGATCATGATTCAATGGAAATTCAAAGGAACTGCTATTTATAGATGACACATGTAATATTTACCTGTTCTGAGTACACTACAATCTTTTGAAATACAGATTGATAATTATAGATTTTTTTTTCTTCAAAATCACAAAGTAGTATATCACTTCAGTTCATTTCATGAAAGTTTATTCTCACATTGGCCTATTTTTCAGAATTCAGCCATTTATTGTTTTCTTCTAAGTTAATTTTGTGCACAGTTAGTAACCAAATGAAGCATGCCAAGTATTAGCAGCAGCCTGGCTGGTTCATGAATCCATAAATACATGAATGTTTTGATCTATTTCTATGTTAGATATGAACACATCCATTCTCATGTGAGAAAAACACCTTTTGGCTGGGACTTCTATCTTGTAGTTGGGATGATTGTTATAGTACCCCATCTGTTGGTGAGGGAGTGCCATGCTCCTCCTCACAGTATCACCAGGTATACATGACTGTATTTGACCATCTGTATGCATGATAACTCTTGACCATCTGCGGAGAACCAGAATGGCTCAAAGTCATATAATTTATCACTGATTAAATGAATGCCCTTCTGGCTCTCAACAGATGATCATAGAACTGTTGATATTTGTTGAAATTCACACTCCATTGTGTCATTATAAATCAGAGATATGAAGAATTTTGTTTAAATTTTGTTTTTTATTATGCAACCTGTCATTATTATTATTATTGTTATTATTTGTATGCAATATGTCATTACATGTACCTTATTACCATTCAAAGTATTAAGCCCCACTGTACTACTTATAGCTACAGTACTTGCGCCCTCTATATAACAAACAATGCATAATCGGTGACCATTGGTTCCCCATGATCCTCTTTTTCTTATGTTGATTGAGAGCTGATTTGATGAGATAACCACCTGTCCAGTGACCTTGCAGGGTGGTCTAATCCCTCCTGTACATTAGTATAGATGGGCTTTAAGTGCTTTATAATTCCAGAATTCCAAATAAGCATTATTGATATCATTACTTACAAGGGTAAGATACATGATGTAACCTGCTTTAGTGACCACCTGTATAGAAAGTCCACCTGTCTACAAAGAGCACAATTTTCTTATTCCCTGCAACATTATTGCCAATTAAAACATTTACTGTTTGAACCTGTACATCAATCCCACCTGCTTATAAAGACTACAGTCCTGTTTCCTGCGAGAGGGGTTTATACAGTATATACAGGTTTGACTGTACATACTAGTACATCAAAGAAAAGAGAATGCATAAATTAGTTATGATGAGTGATCAGAATAGTGTTCCTTGACCTAATCGTCCAGAGTTTCTCTCAGTCATCTGCATGTAAATCAATATTGATATAGCTTCTTTTGAATCACCAGAGTGCTTCTCTACCTGTGCGTTAAACATTTAATTGTACCAGACTAGCTATAATTGCAAGAGGTCAGGTTTTGCTTTTGAGTTGGTCAAGTGAATATCTGATATGTCGCATTAGGAATGACCTAGGAGATTTAAAATGAGGGATAAACAAAGATTTGCTGGAATAGGATAGATATATTTTAGTCTTTTACAGAGGTGAAGTAGTGGAATGACTACGAAAAAAGATAAAGATAATGATAATTAAATATGATAATAAGGTAAGATGCTAATGATGTAAGCTTGTTCTTTGGAAAGAGAAATCAAAACCAGAAACTAGTTTTATTTGTAAAGGTTGTATACCTCGTTTGTAAAATATAGATATTGAGATGGGAGTTAGGAATGAGAAAAGAGACTATTTGAGAAAAAATCAAATTGAATCTTAGGTTAGGTGAGGAGATGAGGCTTTGATATTATGTAGTGTGTCTGTTTATGGGAGCCATGAACATTTTAGTGCAATTTATAGTTTTGTTTTCTGTTAAAAAGAAAAGGGACTAAGATAGAGGGGGAGAATAAAGAAATAGACTGAGAAATGACATGGATGAGTGAAAGGTCCATATACTTGTATATAATGAGATTAGATTGTGTTACACATTTAAGAGATCTATGCGTTCTTGAGCAAGAGAAATGCAACTTTAAGAGCTGTTTGAAAAGTTTACCTCAGTAGAGAAGAAGCAATCATAATATCCTATAGGAAAGCAATTTTCACAATGACTACCTACTTTATAGTTACAATATATACAATATTCATGAGGATATGATGATTATCCGCTAGTTACAGATCTCTGCCTCTGCTCTGACTTGCTGAACCCTAAGTGAAGTTTTAGGGCAACCAGGTCGTAAATCTCCAATCACTTTCAAGTCTAGAGCTCCCCCTCTTCAAGTATGGCTTAAAGACATCGGTGTCATTCAGTGAGCGGTTGTGTACACCCTCCAAAAGCGTATTGCTCTATGGTATCCTTAATGATGAGACAGGGGGATGAAGACGTTACCTCTGGAAACGGAATGACGACAGCCGCTCCGCACTCCAAATCTCGGTTGCCATGGCTGCGTAGCGGAGATCTTCCCTCATCAGGGCCTAAACCTGGGATTTTCTTTCTTCTTTCCCCCTCTCTTTCTTCTTTCCCCCTCTCTGTGGGTTCGTAGTGCCTTTGTAACCTGGATGGGGGAAGCTGGTAACCTTTTTCTTTCTGTGTCTTCGACTCTGCGTCACACCCTCTCAAGTGGCGATCAAAGAAACGGTAGTTTACTTGAAGAGGATGAAGCTCTCTTGTCGTTACCCCTTGATTTACTGCCGTGTTCTGCTGCCTCTTAATAATACCCACATCATTTATAGCAGGGCGGCATACATTATGGCTACATGTACATACAGACTTTAACAACAAAATTATCCAAACCCCTTGTAAATTTGATGTTCTTTGTGTATTTCATAAATCAAGAATAAAAGGTGGACTTTTTCTAATTATAGTCTTTGTTGAATACTTTTAGATGTAAGCTTTAATATGCCTCCTTCTCAAGAATCAGAAAATGGGACAAATCAATTTTTCACATACATACTTTAAAAATTACGAAAGTTGGTAAGGGTATGCATAATTTATTTTTTAACTGTACATGGGAAGCATACTTGCTCTGTTTCCTGGGTTATATGTGTGTGCAAAAAGGTAGATCCTAATATTTGACAGGAATATGGGGTTGAATGTTTTGAAATAGGAAAAAGTATTATATGAATGTAAAACAAAGATTGACTCAAGTGAAAAAAAAAATGTCACCAAAGTTTTATTTTTTAAATACAGTTTACTGATGAAAGTGTCATGCTTGAATTTAGAGGTTCAAGGTATGCTTTATAATATAAGGCTTTAAAAAAAGGTTTGCAGTATCCTCTAATGTCATTCATCTACTTTATTTCTAGTTTTCAAGGAATCTATTCTCTTTCTTGTTTTCCTGCGATTGTTTTCACTTTGAAGTACATGGTTTCTTGATGCACACATCATCAAGATCTACATCAGTGCCTCTTTAAATCTCTTGTACCAGTCAGAGTGCCTCTCGAAAGTTGCCAATTTCCTCCACCCCACTGACATATTCTCAACGTGTGCATGAATGATGCGGAAACCCTTTTCTGCGCTTCTGATCTTTCACCGACGTTTTCTTACATTTCAGTGCTCTCAAACAGAGCGGGATGCCTCCAAATCCCCATGACTTGTAGAGTTTAACCTTTCACTTGGCGAGATTGCAACATGTATCATCCACTTTCTCCATCTCACCTTATACACTCTCTCATCTTCATTTCCTCCAACATTCTCCTCACATCCTCTGCCTGGCCTACATGTAGCTGCCCCCTTTGGTTGTGAGGGCATCCTGATGTGTCCCAACAGAGGAGAACTGTACCCTCCCTAGATTAGAAGCATTTTTCCCCCTTAAACTTAAGAATCCTCCAAGATTATCATCTACCAAGAGCCAAAATGGAGTTAACTAGGAAAAATTCACTTAGAGAATTTGAGATACATACATGTACTTCTGGCTATTAGCAGACTTGAAGACTTCTTGGTTTCAAAGCATGTGTTTTGTTTTTTCCCTACTTCTAAATATCATCCTCCAGGCTAGAGCCAAGTACTATTGTCTTTTCTTAAAATTAAGAGCTAAAAGGGCATTTTATCTACCGGTATGTGAAATCTTTCTTGGAAAGTATCATCAGTTCTGCGTAAAACATTCTTCAAGACGAGTGACGTGGGAGGCATTAGTCCCTCATCATATACAAATAAGATGTTGTTTGGAGAAAGCAAAACACAATAAACTGAGGTTGAGATAAACATATTTTCCCCTCAGAGCCAGGAGGGCAGTATTCCTCTATGTAAAATGATAAGTAAACTCCCTTCTGGCGCTCAACAGATGATTCGATCTCTGCACATCCCTTAGGAGCTGTTTGTTTCCAGTCTATCCCTGGCTTTGGACTCATCAGCATATTTTGGTGATCACTCTCCTTCAAGTAGTCATAAAGCATTTAACATCTCTCACGAGTCAAGTGTTTGCGACATCTCGCGTGACGTGATCTCCTCTTGGTATTCACCCCAAAAAACACAAAGTTCACTCACTTCGGTCATTTTCCATTTTTGATGGCAAATGAAAAATACTTTACCTTTGACTTAATTTGATAACGTTTTTCCATTTGGATATCGTCGGTACTTGAGGCAGCTGTGACGGACCTTAATGATCTTATTTGTCGGTGTCCTTTTTACGTCACGGCATACTTCATCTTGCCCAGACTGTGGGTGATTGTTTTTAGTCATCATCGCCAATTCCCAGATGTGATTGAGTCTGTTTCCCTATTAATGATACATCCAGTTAACTTATGATGCATAAACCTGGCAAATATTTATCAATCTCTTTCCAAAGTGTTTTTCTCAACAGCTGAAAAACAGATTTTTCAGCGTGTTTTTTAAGAAAACAGTGATAAAAAATGATTGATGTAGTAAGTTGTTCATGCAGTATGTGTTTTTTATTTCATTAATTGAATCACTGAACCACTACAGAGATATGTAGTGGTTCAGTGATTCAACATGAATAATTCCAAATTGACAAATCAAACGTTTAAATGTAAAAAACAACAACAACATAACTTTCTGTGTACCACAAATTTGATAATACTTCTTGAACTTTAGACTTTTGTATGTATTAGGGTTTTAGTAATATAGTTAGAAATTTGTGAATGATATATCTGAAATATGAATTGAAGGGAAAAAATTCTCATTGCACATTACAGATGATGGATTTATGATGGAAAAGGACTATTTTACAAATTATTTATTTCAAAACCTGTAAATACAGTGTATGTTTTTGTCATGAGAGAGAATTAAATCGATACAAGATGATAAAGGGAAGAGTTTAATGAAAAGACAAGAGTGGAGAGACAGAGCGAGAAATAAGCTGAGATGAAGGGAAAGAGGGGCAGAGATAAATGGAAGATAGAGAGAGAGAGAGAGACACAGAGAGAAAACCGGAAGAAGATGTATGAAGAGGGAGGCATTGATGACACAACATGGCACTTAAAATCATTTATCTTGCAATGTGTATCCTGTTTACAGCGAAAGACGAGGCATATCCTTGTAAGCATTTGAGTGAACTGTCTTGTAAACATGATGGTTTATCTGTAATGTACAACATAAAAAGGTGTATTTGTAGAATGGGATCTTCATTTCTGAAATGTCCAGCATTAACATTTATTGAATGGCAGTGAAGCTGTAAGAAAGAGTTTAGACGTTGACTGTAAAAGGGCATTACATAAAGAAACATTTGGTGAAGAAATGCATGTAGTGATACAGTGAAAGCGGTGTGTGTACTCTGGAGGATATGTCTGGTGTATAAAGAAATATTGATTTAGAGCGGAAGTGCTCTGTTGTAAATCATTTTCATATACTGTATTCACATGGCATTGCGACTTTATTTCTGTGTGGAGTTCTTTGCCAACACACTGTATATGCCTCAGTCTATTCCATAGTTACATTGTGAGCTTATCTGACCAATACCCTTACAGCAATGCCAAACATGAATATATTTGTTATCGAACAGTTACAGTTAGGAAGCCCTACAACTGCTATGGATTAAACGCAATATTTAGCTACCGTATTTGCCGGCGTATAGGCCGCAGTATTTTTGGAAGAGAAAATATCAAAAAGTCGGGGTGCGGCCTATGCGGCGAAAGAGTAAAAAATGTTTTTTTTTTTTTTTTTTTTTTTTTTTTTTTTTTTTTTTAGTTTCGATTTATGGCGCTATGCCTGGCAATGTCTCCCAGCTCAGTAATCAGTGTGTTGACTCACCACTCGGAAACTACAACAACACTAAAATTTGACTGTCATCTTGGTTTGAAAGTAATCTTTCTAATAGATCTCAATATGTAGTTTATAATAATAGTTCCTCAAATTTTTTCTATAACAAATGGTGTACCACAAGGTACACCACTGGTACCATAGGTACTTTATTGTTTTTAATTCACATTAATGATCTTACACATTCTTCTAAAAACGACATTGTTACTATTATTTGTGACAAGTTTACAAGCACAAATCAGCGCCTTTAACTGCACCTCGATGTTAAATGAAGGTCCTTCCACGCGTGGGTTTTCGGCAGCAAAACAACAACAAAACAAACAAAAAAATCGGGGGTGCGGCCTATGCGAGGGTGCGGCCTTTACGCCGGCAAATACGGTATGTTGATCCCCTCATTTAATCTTCTACAGTAGGCACTTCCACATTCCAATTATTTAACCCTTTGTGCAATAAAATCACAAACATGAACTTCCATCAATGCCAAAAGGACTATATATGATATATTTATGTTGAATAACCTTTTTCTTTTTGCTAAAATTACGAAAGATAGCCTTGTAAAAAACCCAACATTTCCCCCGCATCCTGTCAATATAACTTCCAATATATCATTTATGTCATATTTTAAGTTCATTTGAAATTGATTATTTAAAAAAAGAAAGCAATCATTTTGGATGATAAAGAAAAAAAATGGGTTCATGATAGCAAGGACTTGTGATGTGACTTGTCACTTTACTGCCCCCCCCCCCAAAGTGAATTAATGCACTGTGTGTGTCTTATTACCCCCAAAAAATTGCCTCCTAATACTTATAGAATTGGCCCCCCAGAGTCCAAAGTGGCTACACATGACCTACCTTATGGCAGAAACAGCAAAACAACTGTGTTGTTTTAATAATATTATTTTGAGCGTTCTCTCTCTCTCTCTCTCTCTCTCTGTCTTTCTTCAAAATTAATGCTCATTATTAAATCAGGTTTTGTTTTTCTTTCACTATCATTTCTCTAAAGGGACCATGGAGTTATTCAAAGCATTAATTGTCACTAGTTTTGTATGTAGGCCTAGTATCAGCAATTTATTGGTTGGGCAACTCTGGATCTAATATCCAGTGCTGAGAGACAGAATATGGAGTATAAATTAATCATTAGATATAGGTTTTTAATTTATTTAATAAGACTACAAGGAAAATGTGCAAATGAGTACAGGTTGAAATACTAGAAAGAGGTACAGTGAAAAAAATACATGGGGCTCAGGGCGAACGAGCCCCCGAAATGCCCAAAAGAGCCCCCGAAAGTCATAAAAGAGCCCATGAAAATTAGCATAGACTTCAATGCAAAACAAATTTGATAGTGTTATTTTTCTGCAAGCAAGCTTGGAAAGTAGCCCCCGAAATTTGTTAATTATTTTTTCCCCTGAATTGGTAGAAAAGTTTGAGTATTATTGAATTTTGCCATGATTTGATTGTAAATCTAATGTCATTATGTTTCCACCCTTTTGGGAATATTTACTTCTCTAGAATGTAGTTGGGATAAATAAGTGGAATGTGCCTTACAGACATGGTTGAAGTTTACTTTTATGATATATATTTTGACAACGAAGGGTTGTTCTGATACTCAAGTCTTAACCTCTATTCATAGGTTAGAGTAGGAAAATATGGGCCTATTCATAAAGTTGACTGTATTTTTTGACGGCATGATTGATAACTTGTCCACCATCCCTTATATTTGCCCTCAATTAAAACATGTAACCTTTGAGAAATTTCAGTGTTATTCACATGAATTCATGAATAAATTTATGTGCCTTTTGATAGTGAAACAGACATTTTCAAAGAGTTCACTACACACTCTGACATTCTTACTAAGACAAGGATGCATGTGCCATTATGGTAAAATATTCACACAAGGTTGGCAACAGAATATTGACATTAGAATCACAATCAAATCACAGCCAAATTTAATAAAAGTCCAGACTTTTCTTGTATTCCTAGCTCTGCGGTGACTCATTCAGTCAAGCATATAGCAAATGTGTTGTAATACATGGCAGGTTATGGAATACCTCTCTCTTTTTGCTCCTTTTTTTTGCATCGGTTCTTCTGGCTCCTGTGTGTTTGACTAAGGGGACTTATGATGAGTTGGTAATGCAAGCTCGGGCATCTCTATTTGAGCTATCACTCGAATACTAACCAGGTAGAGTTCAATGTAGGGACATCCCTCGTAATGTAGAAGCTAAGGAGTCGGTGGCTCAGAGAAAGAAATGAATCGAGGATAAAGATCTCGCATTACAAGTAGCAGGATGTAAACTTGCTCCATTTTCAGATATTTGAAATGGGGTAGGATTGGGACAAATCGAGAAAGAGAGAGAGAGGGAGAAAGAGAGAGGAAGTGAGAGAGAGAGAGGGAGAAAGAGAGAGGAAGTGAGAGAGAGACAGGTAAAGAGACAGGAAGGGAGTGAGCTAGAAACGCATCCCCCCTGGCCGTGTTCTTTTGGAGATAAACACGCTAGTTACGGAGTGCAGCACCTCACTGTGTTGGCGTGATTGTTGTGAGACGCAGCTTGCATCCAAGCTCATCTGGCTGCATGCACGCAGCTCCCTCTCCAAAGAGTTTCCCTCCCTCGTCTGCAAATGGAGAAAATTCCAAGTTTGCATGTTAATGTGAAGCCATATAAGTGGGATTTGATAGAGAAAAAGCTGTTGTTATGTCGACTGGAAGGGCTTAGGCGGTGGACGTGGATACGCTGCAGCAGCGCATGTGTGGGATAAAGAAGACGAGTGGGCTACAGCCTACATCATTTCTCTGGATGTATCCTAGGAAGGTTTTCTACTCTGGCCTTAATTATTTGTTACAAAGGTCACTCTCAGAAACACAGTGGAACGCAGAAGAAGGAACACAGTTGAGGGTGAACAACTATCGGATTTCACCAAACTCTGGTGGACGGAGGGAGAGAAGTTAAACTCTCTTGTTTACATGTAGTTCAACTTGTCAATGAGCTTTCAGTGCCTTCTTTCTCCAGTGCTCACACATTTGACTAGCTTGCATCTTGGTTATGGGGATGCGGGCCACCTTTCTCCTCCCTAGATGACACTGTTGCTTAGCGATTGAGATGCTAATGCTGATGCTCTGCTAGCACCATCATCATTGCTCGGGGAGGAATGGCCACTGATTTGGCATTCGACCTCACTTTTTACGAGAGGCGACGGGAACACAGGTCACCTTCTTTGCCGGTGATACGCAGTGACCTAACGGTGGAAGCATGCCTTATGAGAAAGTACTCACGGGGTGTAAGTAATACAGGCTAGTCTTTAATGATACAATTCTTGAAGGATTGAAGCAAACAATATCCTACTCCATTTGCCACTCGTGCATGCAGCTGTCTCTCATACCGTCTGTTTAGAACTAGAAGGGCATTAATGGTGTATTAAAATATATGAGTTAATGCCCTTCTGGCTCCATACAGAGGAAATTGTCTGATATAAGGTTGATAGTAATCTAGAGTACTATAAAGTTACACTTCATTCTTAATATAGGATTGATGACATTATTTTTCATGTAGGGAAATGACTAAGGTTTGTTTCATGGACTATTTTTTTTTTTTTTTTTTTTAATATTTTTTTTTTTGGGGGGGGGGGGAGGGGGGGGGGCAAGATTTACAATATCTTACCCTGTTTTTTTATATTAACATTGGTTATGGAAAAGCAATTTTCAAATTATCTATGGAAAATTGACCTTAACTATATTTGCTAATTCATAATACTCATAATGACATTGCCTTTGTATAGAAATATCTGTATTGTATAGTAACACAAACTTTAATAGTGGAATTTTAAAAAAAATTGTAAGATGATGAAGACACGATGAATATTCCAAGTTTTCCAACAAATTTGAAGCCATTTAATCAGTTTTATGTATTGATCTAGCAAGACAATTGAAACTGTATTAGTTTTCTTTATTTAAATTCAGGGATCATTACATTATCTAGGATTTTTTTATTTTTTTGTATTACATGTTAATAGGTCATTAATCATTTTTCTAAGGACTCAATTAGTATTGTACTCTCCTTTTCTTCAAAGAGCAGTTTTGTTTCAAAAAGAAAACTATGAATTAGATTATGATACACATCAATGCACTGCATACAACTTGAGTATATATGCATATATGTAATTTAATCTTTTTAAGACTCCATTTCATTACACTCGGTTTGCATGGAATACCTTTTCAGGGCAAACTTCTACCCACCTTGCATTTAATGTCTTGTCCCCTATCTGTACAACTAGCCCGGGCGGCGTGTCCCCAAAGGCCCAGCTGTTTCCTATGAATGCGTGCAGCATACACTTGCATTGCAGATCTAATTACAGCACTGATAACTGTCAGATAGTTCATCAATTAAATACCGCCGAGCAGGTCCTCCGAGGCTGCTCCTCATCCCGAGTGTCCGGCCTTATAGCAAGAAGTAGACACTCCTAAGTGCTGATTTTGGAAGAGGCATTTGATTATTTCTCATGAAACCGGAACAGTTTCTCTTTTTAGAATATATTTGAAGATTGGGAATGTTCTATATGGAGTGAGGATTCTGCATGTTGCAGTGATTAATGTTGCATGTGCTCCTTTCCACCCACGAAGAGAATAAGTGACAAATGAATCCTTGATTCATCTTCATCTAGAATACATGTATATTTAAATGTAGGGAAAGAATTTTGATGAATCTAAATGAATAATGCACTTGCACGAAAGCTTGGTTTATTAAAGCACTGTACTGATAATGGTTCATTTAATTTTTGATGTACACACAGACAGACAAGTAGAGATGAGCAGTGAAGGATAGTGTGATATGCAGAGAGAAAGAGAGAGAGTGAGAGAGAGAGAGAGAGAGAGAGAGGGGGGGGGAGGGGGGGGGGCAGACAAGACAGATATTGCAAAATGGATGAAGAGAGACAAATTATGAAAGATAGAGAGACAATAATGAGAGATGAAAAAAAAGAGAGACATATCGTCGCTGTTTTCACGAAGTGACGGTAGTGAAAAAAAAATTGCATTCCCTTTGCGTGACAATTTTCCTCACTACCGTCACTTCGTGAAAACAGGGATGATATGCACAGCCATATATACAGAGCATTAACTATTGTTGGGGAGAAAGAGAGAGAGAGAGAGAGAGAGAGAGAGAGAGAGAGAGATGACAGATGGATAGATCAAGATAATGAGAGAGGCAATATGAGAGACAAATTATGAGAAATAGAGAGATGTTTTGAGAGATGAAAGAGACAGGGAAGAGAAAGGAGGGAGCCAGAGTCATGAGACAGAGGTCTTCAGGGAGAGAGAAGGAGAGAGATATGAGATGGCAAGAAGTAATAGATATCAAGAGAGAGAGACAGAGAGACAGACAGGGCGATAGAAAGAGTAGATATCAAAGACAAGCACAAAACAGCAAAGCTCGTTAGAAGCGATATCAAGGTCCTCATTATGATATTCTACTGTCTCTCCCCACAGGTGGTTTCTTTTACTAGGAAGCTAGCCTAGCTACCCGATCGTCTCAAAGGCAGATATATCCCATTATAGTCCTTCTCGTCCATATCTAATACTATTAACCGAGCAACAGTCACGTACATAGTCATATCATTCCAGAGATAGGTAGTCTCAATAGTCTGAGATGGAGAGTCGACCCTGTCGCACGGAGAAAGATAAAGAATTGATTAAAGGCTTGATTCGTACCGTTCCTTAATGTTTCATGCAGTGTGTAATGATGATCTACTATAAATGGTTGGACACAGTTTAGATCTGTGCCTGTTGTGCACTTCTTTCAATGAGGCTTTTCACCAGGTTGAGTGAAATATGGCATTGGAGTCCTCCCAGGGGATTGTCTATAGGAGGACCAAAACAAATTGACAAATTTATCACCCTTGTCATTATAATGAACTTGCTGGACAGAATTTGTCTGGGTATTTTCTACTCCGTAGTCCCTCATGCTTGGTGTCAACACCATGGGTGTTTTGAATTGTCAAGAAACATGCTTCCAATTAGAGAACTCAATTCTATACATGCCCAAGTTAGTGTGAAAATCACTTTCAATTACCGGTAGTTCTTTGGGGGGAGGGGGGTTCACAATGATCCTATTAAAGTCGAACTTAACTCTAAGTTAGACTTAAAAATTATGGAGAGCCTTTTGTAGCCTTATAATAAAATATATTTAAAACTTTTTATGAATTCCATATGAAGGACATGAAATCTTCTTTATAAAAGAAAATATGATTGATTTGAATCAACATTTTATGCCATTTAGAATAACTTTTACAAAATATTTTCATAGATGCTAACGGCTTTCCATAATTGTTAAGTCACACTTAGAGATAATTTCAAGTAAGGATCTTTGTGAAACACCCCCAGGTTCCAATATGATGTTGTTTATCTCTCAGGGTCATATTATATTTAAAGGAAAACTACCTGTAGAGGAATATTTTTTTGATACCAATACAAGTGAGTGCTTACAAGTTTGCACACAAACATGGCTTATACAACAGTTTCAATCAATATGAATCAATATTCCTTCCATACTGGGTGGTTATGGAAACACAGGTTATCATCAAAACGGATGGAGACTGTCCCAATTTCCATGTCATATGGGAAAGCACTTTTTGCCTATTTGTTTGTTTTCATACTCCTTTCCTCTTTTGAGAGCGTGAAGGTCGTGAACCCTTTGTGTTCAATTATAAGAATTATAATGCCCTTCTGGCTCTTAGCAGATGATGTATGTCTACAGTTTTAACATTTGATAATTATCTCTAAAATAATAATGAGCAAAAATGTTAATGAGGAATGGTTGTAGCTTCTGTTTTTGAATACAACATGCTTTAATGATGAGATCTAAAGTAGATGTCGACACACTCAAGAAATGCTCTAAGACGTAGTTTGGATTCATGCTCAGATACCAAATACTGAAAACACCTTTTCCTTCTTTGCAGTGCTTGTTAAAGTTTTCCAATATAGCTAGTGTTCTAAATTCATTAAAAAAATTAGTACCATCTAGTTTTAAAAGAACTGCTTCTGTCTTTAAAGGTTGTTGGGTTTTAGAAGAAGATTAATAAACAATAATCTTACTGGTTACATATTGTCTGTAAATTGTTCTTAAAAGGATTTCATAAAGTTGTACTTTCCAAAGCTCTTTCTTCTCTACCTTCTAACCAAACATAGCACTGCAGATCTTAAGTAGATATTAACACATCAGCATAGACTTCAAATCAAACCTTATATGATTTCAAGAAAGTCTGTTACTAAATGCAAAACAATAACTCCATCGGTTATGCACATTGTACAGTATCTTACATTCAAATTACACCTAATTTGTGATGGTGACTTACAAATTTCTTTTAACCAATAAACTTTTCCCAGGTTTCATTGGCATAACTTGTTATCAGTTGCTACATCAAGAAACAGTGCAATTTTATTAGAATTGGCAAAATTTGATGTTTTTTACAGTCATATTATGACATTTTCATATTATCCTATTTCTTATATGTGTTATTAGACATTTGTGTGTTAATACTCCCATTGCCATTCTAAATTGTATTGAGGTGGAATAGTACATTTTACATTATACTAATAATTTTTTTCTAATTGCAATGAGGTAAAATGGTAGACTTAGTTTCTTGGTATATATTTCCTCTGATTTACATTTCATAAAGTCCTTAATCCCCAAAGAAAACTTCATGAAAAATATTGTAATGAAATGATTTATTTTAGTGCAAGGGATATGCTATAAGGAATGCACTATCTAGGGATGTACATCATCTGTTTGGAACCAGAAGGACATCAACTTATATACTTTAACACAGAGTTAACGTCCTTCTGGCTTTGAAGCTCTAGAAAACATATATACATACAACATAATTTTTGTGAAATGTGTCTGGTGAAGTTCCACTTTGTCCATTTCATCAGTATTTAACTCAATGCACGCCCGGCAGATCACATGATCTCCCGATGTAATCATGTCCAATGGATAGTGTTACATCGGTGAAAGGCGATCTCCTGCTTGCAGTGATCGCTCAATCAGTGTTTGGTTTATAATCCCTCTAAACGCTGCTGTGGAGTCAAGCCCATGAATGTAGTGGCCCTCTGTACTTTAGATGCAGCAGCATACACTCTTGACATTACCTTATCCAGCGATGCGCATCTCAACAGGAATTCTGGGCGTACTTTATGCCCATTTGCTGCGATCGAAATGCTCGGCATTTATCTGTATATTACAGGGAGATTGGAAAGGATTAAACGAGGGTCTCTTCGTTTATATCCATGTAATGCAATATGCATGCCTGTGCAAGAATCAATAACTATTTGACTGTTCTATCACAAATTACAACTGCATTGGTGCTTGACATACATTGGTACATGAATACCTTACATTTGTACTTGTACTTGAATGCATGGAAGTAAAGGGCTTGCGACGAAGATGCAGAGTAAGGTACATATATTTAATATAGCATCTGACAAATCAGCAATTGCAATCGTCTGATATATATAGAAACACCATCGTATTGATAACATGTTTTCCCAATTAATCTTAAGACTAGTTCCTCAAATGCTACAGAATAGCATTATTAAATGGGAGAGTGGGGCAAGTTAGTGAAGGGGTATGGCCTTCCCCTCGTGACATCCCTCCGCTACGCCTCCAGGGGTGGTGTTTGACTTCTTGATGCGGATGTTTCCAAAGATGTTTGCACAAACCGCTTCCCGGGGCTCTCGGAGCATCCACTGCCAGACCCGAAGAGTACTTAGAAGAAAGACAAGAGGCAATACCCAAGAGATAAAAAGAAAAGAAAGAAGCCAGTGCTGGCTGCCAGAAGTGCAGTGCCACATAAACCTTACAGTTCTGTTCAGCATACAGGCACGTCCCTCTATTATCTCCATTACGAGTCTATCAAGGCAGAGTAGCCCCTAGCAGAGAAGAATACAGCTTTTATTTAAGAAATATATATACCGCAACATTGGTCTGGATGACAATGATTGATATGTCATTTTCTTGGAGTGTTTGCCTAATTAATCTTTTAACTATAGTACCTCAAATCTTAGGAATTCTGGGGGCCGTTTCTCAAAACCGTCATAAGCCTAACTTCATAGACATCCTATTGAAACGTGTGTTATAGAATTAACACACGTTTCTATGGGATGTCCACAAACTTAGACTTATGACGGTTTTGAGAAACTGGCCCCAGTTAAGTTGGTGATTGTGGATTGAGCTTTAAAAAATGCACAGTGATGGACAGACTGCCTTCTGTGCACACATCTCTGTAGTTAAACATGAAGGGTATTCACCAGCAAGGGTAGCGATGCAGGTAGCTTATTGTATATGTCGGTAGATTTGTACAGGCCCCTGGAGACGACAGACATGTGGGTAATATGCATGTTATTACAAGATGGAGCTGATAATATAAGAGCTGTGGTTGCCATGGTAATCCGGAAGAAAGTTTACCTGGCTGGCCGGCAGGGCAAGTTCATGCCTGGGCAGAGTAGCAGATGAATAGGATATTGAAGGTCGGACATTGAAGGCCAATTTCTATGCATTCTGTAGCTGTATAGCATATGTGAGTCAGTCAGATCCATAATATTACCTGGAGGTTACCTGGCTACTTTGGCATTAAAGCACAGCCGTTTATTGCAACAAGCTTGTTCTGTTTCTTACAGTACTTCAGACAGTAGCGTCCTAGTGCATTGGGTGTGTCATTATCATAATATAAGCATAAGAACAGACATAATAGACCATTTGAAATCTTGTTGCTCCAAAAAAATTTCTAGTGACAGTTGCTTCAGACTTTATTTTGTAACAGATTTAGTAAGGATGCATTTGGAAAGGGGTTAGGGTTAGGTGTAGTTTTTGGTCAAAGGCTGATCATTCGATTAGTGCTGGATATTTACCACTGAGCAATTGTCGCCATGGGTCATTCATTGTTTGTTCTTCTACTCTATTACAGTATAGTCCCGGGATAAATGAACGGTTCCTGCATGTGAATTTATTTTGCCAGGCTGTAGAAAGTGCCTGGAGTAACTTTGTCCAGCAAATATGCATGAAATTGAAATAAAGATACATATCTCGGAAGTGCCATTTTGACCAAAACATGTGCATCTATTTGTTAGCAGTGATCGATTGTCAGAATAGCATTCCTCTAGTAATTCCCAAAGAGGATCCGTCATTGTTGTAAATTGAGACAGTATCCATATTTCCTTAGTACACTTCCATGTTATTTTTGTCTAGAGCTGCCCTAATTCTCACCTTCTCATCCATTTTTCTCCCTGTTCTTTCATTTTAAAAAAATTCTTCCCCTGTTCCCAAATTAATGTTTTACATTTTTAGCTGTCACAATAGCCTTAACAATATAATGCAACTACACATTAACATCATTTATGTGTATTGCATGTATTCTAAAGTGTTTAGCTTATAATTGGGATTATAAGGTGACAGGATTAAAAAGAGATAAGGCACTTTGTGAAATAGTTCTGTAGATACAGTCAGTAAAAAATTCCTCAATCATTTTCCTGAAAACCATTACAGGAGGATTCCTTGATTAAAGCTTATGCAATTGCACCTTTCTTACACCTTTCAAAGCTCAAAGTCTTTACAAATCTTTCCAAGGCATTCCAGGAATGATACAGAAGCAGCAGACATGCTCGCTCTCGATCTGACTGTCCCTTCACGGGTTCCATTATTCCAGTATTTCCGCTTTGCCCGTGAGCCAGTATCGATTGACGTAGCTGACAATGATCCTAAATCGCAGGGTTGCTGAGCCGGTCGGTTCCCAAGCCGTCAACGCGGCAGATCAATGAACCCGCCCCTCACGCCCGTCCCAGGGTTCCTACTATGGCTCTTCCCCCGTTGCCTCAGTCTTCCGTAGCTGTACCTGTGACATTTACTGGGAAAGGGATGGCTAGCCTAGGAGGAATCCTTTGTTTGGTTTGATGAGAAACATCCCTGACATGAATACATACGCATATACATCAAGGGTAGGTCCATGAATGTGTAGAAATAGTTTGAAAGACGCAACAATGAATGCAGCAACAACAACAACAGCAACAACAACAAGAAAAAAGTAAACACATTTTGAAGTGCAAATTTACAAGTCAAATCTCTGGCGAGCAGATAAAAGGATTTTCTTTCTTCACATGAAGTAGGCTTATAACAGAGATAGGTAGCATATATATATATATATATATATATGTGCTAGTAATTCAGTGAGTGAGAGACAGAGAGAAAAGGGGGACTTTTTATATAGTCACAGACTCAGGTGAAACAGGTATAGTGATAGAGAAAAGATAATATATAAGGATAAAGATATATTTCAGTTGAAAAACAGAGAGAGAGAGAGATAGGATTTACTGATATAGGGTAATGTCAGTTTGGAGAGTAGTTTAAATTTAAACAAAATTATAGCATTTTGAAGAATTTCTATCACTATCAAGCATGGCCAGTACATACTTTTTTTTCTTCTTCACACGCACCTTTTAGGATCAATAAATGCAGCTGGCCTCTCTTCTAATCCCTAGTTTTGTTAGTTCTCTCTGCAAATTGATTTGATGGCTGCAGAGAGTGATTCAAGCCCGCATTTGGACATTTGGTTTCATACATTTCCTCGTCCATAGCAAATTATACACCTCAATGGATAGCATTAAGTGTCATCCAACCTCGGTTTGTGTATTCTAGGCCATGTGTTTATTCATGAGCCTTTGGTGTATCCTCTTCTGCACTTTTTTCTGTCCATGTCGTAAACAAACTGTAAGGTTATCGGTCATTGACTGGTGGAGAGAAAAGTAGCAAAGAGAGCTGAAAGGAGGGACTACATGTAAGGGATGTATCTGTGCTAAGCTAAACTTACTGCTAAAGTGTTCTGTTTACCAATGTATCTTTTTTAAACAGTTTGTTTTGAAAGCCAAAACCTACCCAAGGCTTTGTACTGATATAGCAACAGCGGGTGTATGCATTACAAAGGGTATTAATCTGCTGTGTGTGCGTGAGAGATAGAGAGAGAGAGAGAGAGAGAGAGAGAGAGGGGGGGGGGGGGGGGGCAGAGAGAAAGAGAGAGAGAGAGAAAGCAAGAGAGAGATGCCATGACTTTAATTTACATTTCTTTACATCATAAAGGCCACATTTCGTCGCTGTTTTCACGAAGTGATGGTAGTGAAAAAAAATTGCATTCACTTTGCGTTACGATTTTCCTCACTACCGTCACTTCGTGAAAACAAGGACGATTTTATCTGTTTCCCTGAAACTTGCTCTAAAATAACCTGTACAGACAGACCACCTGCTCATAAAGACCAGACATTCTCTCTCTCTCTCCTTTGAGCAAGCTTTATAGACAGGTTACACTGTATCTCCTACCAGTGGATCATGTCTGCACATTATCACCTTCCCAAATATATGTAACCAAAATGAGACAGAGATGTCGCTTTAACCTGCTCATAAAGACCAAATATTCTCTCTCTTTAGCAGGCTTTGTAGACAAGTTACACTGTATCTCCTACCAGTGGATGTCTGAACATTCTACCCCCTTCCCAAATATATAACCAAAATGAGACAAAGACGTCGCTTTAGCCGTACTCTGCCCACTTCCCTGGCCGATGTAATTCGATCCCGAGACAAGATATTTGATTTGTATGCACGAGGCCCGGTGATAATCAAGCGCCCTTGGAATACTTGCCATATTTTTTATGCACAAATGGAGGATTGAGTTGGAAAGTACAGATCTGTAGAAGAGATTTATGATCGTTCGGTAAACCCCGGACTGGGACTGGGAAGGAAAAGGTGAATGAAAAACCAGGCCATATGCATATATTCATTTCCTCTTCCCTTACATTCTTTATCATCAAATATGTGCTGTTTTCAGTCCGGCGAGATGATGCATAAAAAGCGTTATGCTTAGTTCTTTCTTATTTACACTTGCATATTGCACCTTTGATAAAACAGTATGTCATTGAATCATCTAGTGTGCATGTTTCATTTATAGTGGAATTGCCTAACTGGAGTTTAGAGTTTTAGAGTTCAGAGTTTATGGTGAATTGATCTTCATGAGATTAACTCAACTGTGTACTCTTTAAAAAATAAAATAATTCTATTTCCTTTTTTTCAAAATCCTAAGGCAATTTTTTGAGTAGTATTCTTTAAAGTGGTATCACATGCTTTGAGAGATCTTTTTTTCTCCTCTTCATTTTGATGCTACTGTTTTTCATTATTCCCATTAAATGGGTAGCACAATTCTAAAATATATTTATTTAAAAAAAGGGATTTAAAACCTCCGCTGAATAGCTCATACACAAATCCAAGAATGAATTGAATGCCCAATTGACATATGGGTGTATGTAATACAGTCAAACCCGTCTATAGCACCCGCCCAAAGGAAACACAAAAAGTGGTCTTTGTAGACAGCTTCCTTTAGTACATGTTTCAATGAGAAACCATTTTCAAGGGAAACAAAAAATGTGGTCTTCGTAGACAGGTGGTCACTAAAGCAGGTTTGACTGTATATACAATTCCTTACTCTATTTGGGGGGCAACGTATTTAGAAGGTGGCTTAAATAATCATCTTGTGAGTCTAAGAGGAATACTTTGTGTGCAATTACTGTAGTAACATATGTCCTGGCATATTAAGCTGAGAGTGTAGTGTCTGATGTGGTGAGCTTTATAACCAAAGGCAAGAAGGAGCTCTCATCTCGTTACACTTTCATAAGAGGGAGCTGGGTTGGGTTAAGGGAGGGGGGGGGGGGGTGATTAAATTCTTGTCATGTGAGTTTCGCCACTTGACATGTTTGAGAGGTAAGGCATTGGAGTGCAATTTGTACCCGGATAATCTTATCAGCTTACGCATAGAATGATATGGAGATACTAAGGAAGGCCTTCTTCCTAAATGCAATAAATTCATTCATGAATTCTATTCTCAAAGCATGTTTGTCAAGAAGTCGGGGAGCATCTTCTTCTATTTTAGACCCACAAAATCTTTACTCTAAAAATTTGTCTAAAAAAAAAATTGTTTACCCCTGTAAAATTAGGATAATTTTCATATCGAATTAACTGTTAAAACAAAGGCTGAAATTTTGATGGAAACAATTTTGGAAAAATTTCTAAAATGCTAAATCCCTCATAATCTTTATGATGTTTGGACTTTAGTTCAATACCACTATACCTCAGTTTTCAGGATGTACATTTATAACTTTATTAAAAAATGCCAAATGTCTTTCCTTTGGGAAATTTTCATGTGGATCATAAAATGATGGTTTTATTTTTTTCTCTCTTTTCTTTTATTCAGTCGCTGGAGAGTACCCGGCGTATGCTGCAGATGGCAGAAGAGGTAAGCATTATGTCATAAACTACATGATTTAGATCAGTAGTAATATAATATAAGCCCATTGTCTACTAGCTGAGCCATCCTATCTTTCTGCCTAGACCCTTTGGAAAAATCAAATCGTAAATAAAGACGTAGAGTAAAAGAGTTTAGCTGACTGGAGTTTGAATTCAAGGATCAATCTTTACTTATTGGTTGGTCTGCAGGTTGTAGACCTTGTCAAGTCTCAGTCTTGATCAAAATTTTGATTCATCTGGGGAAAAATAGTGATGTATTGCAAGTATGCAGTATTTTGTAATAGTGCTATTTTGCAAAAAGTGATACAAAATTGAGTTATTTTTTTTTGTAATTTCTTATTACATGGATAAATTGTCTGTAACATCTTGCAATAAACTAATTCAAAAGATGATTTTAAAGGGATTCTAATTCTTTTCTATTTTTGGGGGTTGAACAGTTCTTAACATTGCTATCAAATTAAAAACAAAACGATAGAGAAACCTTCTGCGTGTGATCATGAACATATGCAAACAGTTGTAATATTTTGCCGAAGCCCAATTTTTCTTGCCCTATGCCGCAATCAATGATTGACGTTGGTGCTGAAGAAGTGCTCGTTCACCAAACAGCGTCACGAAAAAAATTGAAATGTCTGGGACTTGACAACTAACTGCATTGGCGTTATTGGGCTGGCTGGCTGGCAGGAAGGCCCTGGAAATGCACGGGGTTTGCATACTAATGGCAACAAGCAGGAGATCGTTATTGCTAAATGCTGTGAAATAGACCGCCTCCAGGCCGAGTGGAATGCGCTCAAAGAGAGCCGGGGATCATGGGAGAAAGGGTCAAATGCCTCGTAAGACGAGAAGTCGATCAAGAGAGAGATGTGGTCATTTTAGTCTCCAGATTGGAGTCTCTTGGTTGGAAAGGGTTGAATAAAAAGCGACGGATTCTGACCCCGCAAGCTTGTAGCAGATGGAGACGGCACTCTGAGTTTGTATTTCAATCGTACCTGGGACGCGCATAACTCTACTGCAGTCACACATAATCCACGCTTTCCAGATTCAAGTTTCAATGGATTTTTAGGCAGACTGATCGCGATGGCTAGTGTTCAATGGGTTCCCCAGATATTTAATCATGTATTAATAACATTCAGTTGATTTAAGAATATTGTCTGCCGAAAGCCAGAAGGATGTAAACTCTCGTATCGTACCTTAACACAATGATAACACCCTTCTGGCTGTTCACAGACAAATTATATTAATCATCACTCTACATTATCAATAATCACCATTTTGTTGCTCTTATATTGATCTTGTGCAGTTTAACTATATGCCATAACGTTATGTTTTTGTGGAATGTGTTACCTGTGTTTTTTGGGTTAAATGTAGTTTTTTGTGAGTCACTATGTGTGTTTTGTGTATTCTGTATGTGTTGTGATTCTTTGCTTCTTCTTTTCTTCTATATCCTTCCTTCCTTCACACATATTTTCATCTCCTTTTTTTACTTGGATATCAAAATCATATTTCATATCAATACAGCTACAGATCCATTACAATATGAAGCTTAGAAATTAATCTTCTTTAGCTTCAAAGCTGATCTGATTGTTCCAGAGAGAGAAAACAAAAATCCAAAACACATTTCTAACTTTCTTAGATTTCCTTGAACATCATTACAGTACATTCTTCTTTGTATAGATAATGGTGTTTCTTTTTAATGCACTTTCAGTAAATCTTAATTCTTTTTAGTTTCACAGTTTGCTTTTCCTTAACGTATATAGTAGATGATCAACAATATCGAGAAAAAACCCCAACAAGATAGTTTAAATACGCTTTCTTTAACTGCTGTCAAAATCTTTAAAACTCTAAACTAACTACAGGTGACAAATCTATATCCACATCAGGAAGATATTCATATATCATTCTAGATTTGAATGCATTAAACTAATGAATACCTTCCTATGGCAGTACACCCTTACCCTTCATTTGAATGAATCTTGATGCTTTAAGGGATTTCCCCCTCCCCCTCCTTCCTTCCCCCTCCTTTCACCCAATATGTTCCCCTAATGATGAATCGTGTACTAGGTCTAGCTACCCTGGGTGAATGAGTAGGAGTAGTGAATTATTCCATCTCTTATTATCCTAACCTAGATGAATATTCCATCCTGCATCATCAGGGATGCATGCCACCCACTCCCTCATCATCATCATCATCATCACCATCACCATCTTTTCTTCTCTTTTCATACATCTTTTTAGTTTTCTTCCGACATTGATAATTACAATATTTTTTCTGAGACAGAGAAATGTCAGAGCAAGTCATTTTCATACAAGCAGCAGGTTTATTATCCAAGATGATCTCCATTTATAGAAGGGGGGAAAGGATAAAAGCTTCACCTTGTTGGAGTGATTGCTCCCTTTAACTTCAAGTAAAACCGTGGGTGTGTCAGGTTATGAATCATTCAGTTTTGTATTGTTGAAGAAAATGCTTAGTTTATTACCACTATGTATGCAATGTTTAATTAACTTCTCTGGAAAGACAGACTTCAATCCTTTTCAAATATTGTACAAAATTTTAGTCAGAATGGTATCATAATACAGCTAGACTATTCTATTTTATGCACATTCTATGCACCTGTGTGTGCAAGTATTAAAACCTTTACAAAAATATTGTAGGATAAATCATATGCATCTATATGATTTGAATAATCTTCTATCATGCTATCAACCCAAAAAGGGTGCATTAAATGAAATTCTATGTTTATATACTTTGTTTGATATGCATAATTTTATTTTATATATTGCAAAATCATGAGCAAAACCCCATTAAGTTATGTTCTTTTGTAAGGAAAATCACAACAAACTTGAGGAGGGGGGGGGGGCTCTCTTGTGTCCCCCCTCCCCCTTCCCCTCCCCCTTCCCCTCCCCCTTCCCCTCCCCCTTCCCCTCCCCCTTCCCCTTCCCCTGCATCCCTTGATGGATAAATCCCTGTCTCTGGTAGATGTGAACATAGCATACAAATTGATACAAGATATATTCTTTTGGAAAGAAAAATAAATAAAAGAAACTTGAGGAGGGGGAAAAAGAGGTACTTTTGTGCACCCCACCCCCCTCCCTTCCCCTAATGGATAAATCCCTCTCTTTGATGTGAAAATAGCATACAAATTGTATTTCAGATTAACCCTTGAAAATAATACTAAACCTGAGATAACTTGAGCTTGGATGCCTGGAACCATGTGTCATACCAAAATCAAGACTTTTTCAGCAGCAGCATTAGCAAAAACAACAACAACAACAACATGTTCTCTGAGGATAACAAGATCATATGAACGCACCAATATGTGTTGAGTGTACATTATAACACTTGTCATTTTATTGAAAAAGCATAATACTTTCATACTTTGAAAGGAAAATTAAATCAGTGACGAGGAACAGAAGTCCCCCCTCCCCCTTTCAAAAGTAGCCATTTTGCTTTGCCCCTGAATCCTTTACCCTCAAAATAGTTTCTGAAGCCACTTTAATACAGAGCTTTCTAGATGCACCCAGATTGAAAGAAGAGACAAATATCACAGCTCAAACCTGTCTACATGACAAGAATTTCTTTCTCTCTCTTTCTCTCTGTCTCTTTGTCGAACACAAGCCTTCTTGTAAATCAAGCCCCCTGCACTCTCGCCAATCACCGTCTCAGGTCGGATAAATACTCGTTGATTCTCTACGGATATCAATATTTCACACCGGCTGTAATGACACGAGACTCGTGTGAATAGAAGTGTCAACATTAAAGTTGCACAAGGGAGCCCAGACGTCTTCATACAGGTCTGGCATTCACGGGGCCTCGCAAGAGGGGCATGAAAAACATGCGTGTTTTGGCTTCATCATTTCCACGAGCAAAATCCTATTGTCATTTATGAGGCTTGGTGAAAGGCAGAGTGTAGTCAATGGGAGTGTAGTGTGACAGCATGAAAGAAGAAAGATAAAATGGGATCAATTATTGAGATTTATTTTGGGTAATGAAATAGACAACTTGCAAAGAGCTTTTTTCAATCATTCTAATCATCATAGTAAAACGAAAACAAGTTTGATCATGTTATTGTAAATATTTTTGAGTATGTTTAAAAAACACTCTAAAAAGAATGATCACAGTAGATAGAAATTATTTTTGATATTTTCTTCATTATGAATTTGATTGGATTGAAATTGATAAGTTTTATTGATTAGAAAATACAATACACTCAAAATAGTATCCATGCTTATTTTCTTTGGCATGATTTACCGCCCACAGCCAGGAAGGGGTTTATTCCTTTTTTTTTTAAATATGATTAAAACTATCTTCATATAAAGAATCAATAAAAAGTTATTATGACATGTCCAACGTAATTCTTATTGAATTTAAGCTATTGAGCTATGTTGTTTCAAATACTCTGTTTATCCTCAAAATATTTGTCTAAAAAAATTATACAATGATAATAAAGAATGAATATAACAGGGTTGATGAAAGACAAATTGAGCAGCCAGCGTGTCAACCATGCACCTGTATTTATTTGTGTAGATCATACAAAATACATACATTTACTGAAATTCCTTAAAAGGCATAGCAACAAGAAATTTTGAAATTATGAGATGAAAAGATTACTCAAACATATCTATAGACCCTCCCTCCCCCCCCCCAAAAAAAAAAATCATAAAAGGGGGGGGGGGGGTGGGCAAGCTGGGCAGCATTTAGTATAGAATCCAACAGCTGTAAACAAAAACAATCGCATGTACATATTTATTTGTTTAATGATTCATCCTGAAATTAAAATAATTGCATTCACGTAACATTTTACTACAGTCCTTTTCGCAGTGTACACAACCTTGTACTCAAAATGAACTCATCATGGCTGTGCCATTGCCAAGATGTCCCCATCATAAAGATTCTATTTTGCTATTTGCCCATGAGTAGAAGTAAGCACGGGGTTATCATATATTGAATTGGAGTAGCTCGACACACCATCATTGTTTGCTTGAAGCATTCAAACACTACTAACCCAGGCACGCAAAAGTAAATTTGTGAAGATGTCCAAACACCATTCTTTCTTCGATTGAACCAGGCTCTCTGGACATGCATGAAGCCGCTGCTGCTTGTATCTCTCCCCTTTTCTCTCTTTTTCTTTAATTATCTCTCCTCTTATCTCTCTCTCTATATATATCTCTCTCTCTCTCTATATATCCCTCTCTCTATCCCTTTCTCTCTTTCTCTCTCTCTCTCTCTCTTTCTCTGTCTCTTGTAATTCCCACTCACTCATCATGAACAACATTTTCTATTCTTTTCTCAATTTCATTTTTGTCTGTTTATCTCTTTTTATGTTTCTTCATTCCTTTTTCTCTTACCAGCTTGTTGTTGATCATGTTGTCTTCATATTTTCATTTCTGTTTCTATGTGTCCCTGTCATTGTGTACATAGACCCTACCTTTCTGTAAATCTTATTTGTATCCGTTATTCTTTACTGACACACATAATCTTTCTCTCTCTCTCTCTCTCTCTCTCTCTCTCTCTCTCTCTCTCTCTCTCTTTCTCTCTTTCTCTCTCTCTCTCTCTCTCTCTCTCTCTCTCTCTCTCTCTCTCTCTCTCTCTCATATCTCTTATGTCAATCTCTGCTTTTTTTGTCTCTCTAGTCTCTCTCTCCTGTCATCTCTCCCTCTCTCTCTCTCTTTTTTTCTACCCTCATTTCACCCCCCCCCCCCTCTCTCTCTCTCTCTCTCTCTCTGTTCCCAATCTCTCTCCCGTCTCTTCTTTTCCCCTGTCTCTGTCTCTCTCTGTCTACCCACCTTCTCTCTTTCTCTCAGACATTCTCCGCAGATGTTTGTCTCTCAATCACAATCTAGATGTTTTCCTTGAATTGACTTGCTCCCAGTGATGTTTGAATAAGATGTATAGCCAGCTTGAGGCAGGCAATATAAATATCAAAGCATACCCATGGGCATTTTCCACAAATATTTTCATTTTTTCTTCTTTTTTTCTCCCTGAACCACAGTCACAGACCTTTTCTATCATACTTCATTGTATATATGTCAGTCTTTGTTCATTGTATTGTACATGTTTTTTATTCTGTTTATTTTCCTTGTAATTGCATAAAAGATAAAAATGCAGTCTTGTTCTGTGTTTGTGTATGTATGTGTGTGTGTTGGTGTGTTAAAATGTTCCAAGGTGTGGAAATAAGAGATAAAAACAATTTCATTTTTTTCAAACGTGTTTTGCCAGTTACTGAATTAATTTTGTAAACTTGACTTCCCAATATTTTTGGCATTTCATGTCCTTAGGGGAAAAATATTACTCCAAATACAAAGTAGTTTTTTTTATTTTCATTTATATTTTTTAACTCAAAATATAATGTAGTACTAGCATGATATTATATAATTGTTTTCCTAAATTTGATGTTATGTGTTAATAGTAATGATTCTTTCTTTTTTTTAGCAAGATACAATAAAACACATAATTGCAATTCACAGATTCAAAATCGTTCAGGGAAGGGGAAATTGATTGTATTGCAATTTCATTTTATCTGTTCGTAGCCAGAAGGGCATAAATTCTGTATTGAAGTATATGATTTAAGGCCCTACTGGCTCCAAACTGACATTAAAAAGAAAAACTGAATTGAGTTCAAGATATTCAGCACATCCAAAATCACCTAATCCAGTGGTGAATATTTTCATCTTTTCTCACGTTTTCTTTGAGTGTCCGTGATGATTTCATGTCACAGTGTAGGTTGCGGTGCATAGTTTTTATCCCTTGCAGCCATTTCTGTGTTTTATGTGATTTTTTTTTTTTAGCGCTCAGTCTCAGAGTTGTAGTTCTGTGTGTTGTATATGATTTTTTTTTTTTACCGCTCAGTCCCACAGCTGTATTTCTGTGTGTGCAGTGGTATTATTCTTGATGTGACATCTTATTTCCATCATAGAGTCAAGATATGGGAATCAAGACATTAGTAATGCTGGACGAGCAAGGAGGTAAGAAAGACGGGCCCAAGGGCTCAGCTTCAAAGGATGATCCAGTCGGCTTTCAATTTTTCTCTTACAATGTTCATTCATTTAAACTTCACCAGGGTTTTTCCCCATTTTCATTCCAGTCTGCATGATGTGGTGAAATGCATTGTTTTAAATCTTTAATCAATTTTGTAATAATATGTTTCATTATATTGGGAAGTAAAGTGCTATGGTTTGAAGCTATTAGGTGACTAGATTTGCACTGTACTTTTTTTTCTTCCCGGAAAAGGCATCCCTGTTTGTCAACCACAATCCTGTGATGAATTACACCGCAAACGAGCTCAATTTCTGAAAATGCCTTTCGATAACCAATCCTTTACAGTGCTTTTTTAGCTCGCCTTCTTGCTTCACAACCTACGTTTACTTCTAACCAGAGATTGTGTTGGTTTAGTTTTTCCACTGCAAAGAACAATTTAGACAGTCCTTTTCCTAGAAATTTAACAAAATGGCTTCTAATATCGGTAGAAATTTGTTCACACTTCATAATGTTATTCAAATTTATCGACCAGAATGGGGAGGAACAAAAACTGTTGGATATAACAGCCTTCTTCCTATTCAATCATTTTGTGGTTTTATTGATCCAAGATATCAGACTTATTGTTTGCTGCTTTTGAAATTAGAGAGTGAATTTCTATCAACAATAACATAATCTTTTTATGGATATATTCCGAGAAGAGGACTATCTATTTTTGTCAAACAGTGGCTAATCCATCGTATACAATCCTCCATGCATGTTAAGTTGGTGAGGGGGAAGAGAAGCTACTTTACAGGCTGGAATTTCTTAACAGACTGCCACTTCACTGCAAGGATCAACTTGTTGGTGTAAATAACAAAAAACATTGGAAACAGTGAAAAAAATACACGGGGGCTCGGGGCGAATTAGCCCCCGAAATGCCTAAAAGAGCCCCCGAAAATCAGAAAAGAGCCCCAGTAAATTTGCATAGAGTTCAATGCAAAACAAATTTTAGATTGTTATTTTCATGCAGGCAAGGTTGAAAAGTAGCCCCCGAAAAATAAATATTAATTTTTTCCCTGATTGGAAAGACATGATTATTGTCACTAAATCAATCGATCTCGATGACAATTTGGGTTTTGGTATTTTTAGAAAAGGGTGTTTGAAAATAAAATTTTGACACATTTTTCTATTGAGTGTTGCCAATTTGTGGTAAAGCATATTAAAAATACATCCTTTGCAATGGCACATCAGCTTCATATACTGGAGTTGAGGTGCATTGAGTGGCTTTGCAGTTTGTGCTGGAAAGAGTGCAAAGATAACGTGCTTAAAAACACATGTATTCAAAGAAATTACTCTAATGAATAACATAGAAATGCTCATCTAAAACATCTCTTGACAGCTCAATACCAATATTTAAATGTGTGATACATGTATTACATATATATGCTCCATATATATATATATATATATATGACAATATCCAATACTAATAAAAAAATCTTATATGATATGCTGTGTTTTAAACCACTAAATCTTGACACCTTCCATTTTCCTTTTGCCTGTAGCGAGTAGAACCATGGTAACAGGGCTGTATCTAAAATCAATCATATTTTATTCCATTTGTCTTCTTTCTCCATCTTTCTTTCGACCCTTCTCCTCTCCTCTCTGTCTTCATTCTGTTTTATGACTTGCTTACCGCCGCCATCGATCGTTTAGAGCAAGGAAGCGGGTATCAAGACTTTGGTGCTCCTGGATGAACAAGGAGGTGATCAATTAGTGGCTGTGTTTGCCCCCTCCCTTATCCCCACCGCACCCCTCCTTACCACACCCGTACCCCCCCCCCACCTGCACCCCATCCTTACCCCACCCAAACTCCTAAATCGTAGTTTTGATGGCATAGTTATTAATATAGTTATATCCAACCCCAAATGTAGTTTTAATTGCTTACATGTATTGTATAACTTTAGTTGATTGAACCACCGTACTAAATGTCTAGTGGTGTTTGTGTGTCTGATGGTTTTTGATGGCATAGTTTTTAATATAACCCACGCAGTGATAACCTACCCCCAAGTATAGTTTTGATGGCTTACATGTATTGTATAACCCTTAGTTGAGTGAATCACTGTACTAAGTGTCTAGTGGTGTCTGTGTCTGTGGAGTAAAGTTTCTAGCTTGACTACCTATATTTCACTTTGAGAATTAGTCCCTTTTTAAAGATGATTAAATATCATTAGAGAAGAGTAAAATTAATCATGAATGCAAAACTTTTGTTGAGTGAATTAAATACAAATCATAATACTGAAATTTGAATACCAGTTTATAAAACCAATACTTTACAATATTTGGCAGGGTTTTTGTTGTTTATGTCACAAAAATGTTCTTTTTAGAACCATAGAAAGTTTCTTAGATATTGCAGGAATATTTAGCAGGTCATAATTTTTTTTAAATTGCAAATTATGGACGTTTGTGGATATCATGGTTTGCTTGAATTGTGATAGATGATTAGAATTTCTTCATTACATTTACTATATTATTGACATAATTATGTGCATGTAGGTTAGCAATATCAACTCATTTTGAAATTGATTATGTTCATGCATGACAAAATGATAGGAAACAAGAATTTGAACAAAAAATTCAGTAGATATTCAGGCTTGGAAACATAGCTTAGGTACTAGTGGTATAATTGATATGTTGTTTGATTGTGTGCCTTGGCTGTATTAAAAACTCTTTCACTTCATATAATTACCAGAAATAATACTATCGGGCTAACAAAAATACATCTGAACAGATGTTGCGCATGATTAACTTAACCTAACTTAAACATTTGAACTTTTCACATATAGGTTTCATTTCAATAATATGACTGAAGTACAGTACAACAGATAACAAAATTGAATTTAATAGAAATCATCCTTTTATATATCCTCAATACCAGTATATTTTGCTACCATAGAAATGTTAGCAGATATCTAGATTTTTAAAATGTATCATGGGTAAAGGATTTAAATATATTAGGGGACAACCTTGAATAAGAAACTTCCAGAGCAATGCTAGAAGTAGAGCTAGATTTCAAAACTATTGGTGCAATCTTGAAGAAAGATTGTCTTGTTGGAACAAGTGTTTTCATCTCATTTTAATTCCTCAGATTCTTATAGCAAATAATCTAGCTGAGTTTTTCAGCATTTTAGATCGCATACTATAGCATGCAAATGATGTAATGGCGTTTAAATATTAAACATAATATGCAATATTCAAATAGCCTAGTAAATCTGTTTTTCATCCTTAGTCAAACTCATCCTTCTAATTGCTCCCATTTAATCTCCAATTGTTTTCTCATTTCCCAGGAAAAAGTGTAGAAATGGACAAATAATATGAATCTTTATTGCCTTTCAGGCAATTGAACTAATCATTAACTGATCAATAGTGTACAATTTTTGAGTCAAAATATTTGAACTGTCTTATACATTGCAGTTAAAGATAATATGTATTTCCTGCAATTTTTGTGCGTACTTCTAAACATTTTATTCAAATCATTAAAAGTGCTCACTGTGGATTCTTTGAAAGAAATACACCATATTATTTTATTTTATTTTCACTTAAAATATTCTTATATAGGAATGAAGTAACATATTACAACAGAAATAGATCAGAATTATCAATGATGTTTGCTTTATCTGCTCATGTAGCATGCTATTCATAGAATTCTGTATAAATACGACTGTTACAAGATGACAATCTCGAGAGCTTATAGTTGAATTCACATTTCTATGTCAGTAACCTATCGTATCTTCTTGTCCTTGGATTACATACATACTCCATTGAGAAATGTCAACATTTATCTGAATCCAAGTCATATATTCAGATGTAGATTACCTTGTGGTCTGCGATGTAAGCAATTACCAACCAAAAAGAAATTATTCCAGGCAACTCACGTCTTGTCCTTACAGTATGTCACAATCGCTCTTAAACTTTAGAGCTCTTGTAATAGGAATAGCCTATCAGTAAAGAACTGATTTTTGACTAACGAGACAAATTATAATGATGCAGTCAAGGATAGCGTAATATTAGAACAAATTATAGATATATATATATATATACAAAAGAGCAAGCGAAAGAAAAAGAAGAAAACATTATGACGTAACACGAAATGAGACAGAGCAAAAGAAAAGTATTATACTGCACATTCCCTTTTATGGAAAAGCAAAAATTTAAGCAGCGATTGCTTAATAACCTTGTATTACTATTCTTATTTGTTCAACGTCTCTATATACAATGATCTTATTTGATTTTGTCCCACTTTATTGTCAATCTTCAATAAAGGAACATAGTATGAACATAAAAGAATTGCACAGTCACAGACGTGTATAAATAAGAGTAGACCAGGTCATGGCTCGTAAAGAAGAGCTTTGATTGTTAGGCTTCCTAGAAGAAGTTTCAATTGTTGTTAAGAAACTTTTGCTTGCACCCAGTAGTTCCCGCACGGTTCAGAGCTTTGTCTGACTTGTTTTCAAGAACAAGTTCAAACACATTATCATAATCTACTGGGTGCAAGCCAATAAGTTCTTTTTCAACAATAAACAACGATGAGGTGCTATTCGATGTAGCGTCACATGGCAATCACATATTAGATAAATGATCAGAACAGGTCTAATAATTTAAAGAGAAATGAATCATCTCATGTAATAGAAATCTTAGAAACAATTAAACGGCAAAATAAATGCTTGTAGGGAGTCACATTCAAATTTGCATCAGGAAATCCACTCTAATACTGTTTTCACACTGGCAAAATTTTGCTTAACCCCGTACTATAGGTGGGGTTAAGGGGGGGTCTTAGCCCCACCTATAGTACGGGGTTCAGCCTATTTCACTTTCTGTTCAGACTCGCATTTACCAAAGTGGGCTAACCCCACCTATAATACGGGGTTAACTAACCCTGCAAAATAGCAGGGCTAACTCCGCAATTGTGGTGCTAACTCCTGCTAACCCCGCAATTGCGGTGCCAAGCAAAATGAACGAGAACAGAAACGAAAAAATAGTACGTTACTACGCAATGGAGCGTATCGCAGCTGGCCAGATGCGAAGTAAGGAGCCCACTGTCTAATCATATAGCCCGGGGCTAAGAATTGCATTGAGAACAGCATGAATTTTCTTATTCTGGAATAGGCGCTAGTACGGGACTAAAAACAGCATGTGTGAAAAGCCCCCCAAAATAGTCCGGGGTTAAGGATAGTACGGGGCTAAGCAAAGTATGGGGTTAAGCAAACCAGTGTGAAAAGAGTATCTCACTATAATCCTCCCTTGTCATTGGCAATAAATATGCGCCCTTTAGGGGTGCAATTGGGATTATCGATTACAAGGCCATACTGTCGGATCCTTCATACATACGTGTGCTATCTAGCACGTCGGCCGTCATGTTCACTTTTATAGCCTGTTTAGACTCCAGGAAATTCATTCAAATCTCATGTAAAGAAACGTTATAAATATAAAGAATCACTGTGTAGTGAAAGGAGGGTACAGAATAGATAAGAATATTGTATAGAGAAACATAGTATAAAGAAACGAGTTTAAAAGAAACAAGTTTTGAAGACACGATAGCTGGCCAATCATCAGTGTACGCTAATAATAAGCTCCGCCCAGTTAAACATTTTTTTTTGTACGATACAATATTCAGACTAAAGTGGATTTGTCACCGGACTGTGGATCACAAGGTCGGCGGTTCAAGTCCCACCGCAGCACTAATGTCCTTTAGCAAGACATTGATCTACATTTGCCACTCTCCACCCAGGTGTTAAATGGGTACCCGGTAGGATGCGAAAGCTAATGTGGTTAGATTAGCAATTGTGCGCTTGTAAAAATGACGCCTAGCTGGAATGCTACCCGGGGAGTGGAGAATGTGCATACATTGTGTGTGGGTAAGCCTGAATCCAATGACCGGGGTAATAATATACTTATCTGTAAAGCGATTTGAGAGGGCCTCCGGTCCTGAAAAGTGCTATATAAGAACAATCTATTATTATTATTATCTAGTTTTTGTTGCTCTAAATAGATTTCGCTATACAATATGTCGTTATATGACGTTTCTTCATACAATGTTCAGACGAGGAAGAAACGTAATTTCTTATCATATAGCCATGCGATTCTCGATTCAAGATGAAGATTCAATGAATTCTGGTAGGGTGAACACAGGGTTAGTATCACTCCCAAGTCTCATTAGGCCTATTTTCATCAGCTCGAGATTGCCACATAGCCCGCTAAGTTACAAATCGTGTCTTCATCAGCTCGAGATTCGACCTCAAACTTGGAACTCGACCTTGAGAAATTAGCTTGAGATCTTTTGCTAAGCGTTCATGCATAGTGCGAGTCTTCAGGCTGGTGAAAAAGCACCGGAGTGGGATACTTTGCAAACTATCCCAAGATATCTTCCAAAGATTATTCCGACCAAATATCCTGCTAATTGCTACTTTGGGCCGATGAAAACGCAAATTAGCTGGATAATTTGTGATCGGGATAGTTGAAATAGCTGGATATTTGGCAATCTCGAGCTGATGAAGACATACCTCTTCACCCAAAACAAGTGTGTCCTTGAATCAAGATGCGCTCGCTGCTCCTCACAGGATTTAAGAGGAAATCATTTGACGGCAGACGAGGGCAGTGTGTAAAAGACACTTTATCCGATTATATCTTGGGAAAAACAAAATAAGAATGAACGACCTTGAATATTCCAATGCGGTTTAGAAATGGGATTGGGGAGGAGGGCATTGTATTACTTACCTGTTGAAATTGAAATGGGAATCTAAAGTGATCCTGTGTATGATGCTTTAACTATTTGAGAACAATTTTAAAAAATATAGATGAATGTTGTCTGTTAGGCCAGTAATGCCTAATTGATATGAAAGTAGCTATATGGCTCTACAAATCATTGATTTTTCTATTTCTAAAATAATTTTGTCATATCTAAGGTCACAAAATCTTGGAACTTGATTGTAGCATCCAATTTAATGTAAAGTAATACAGAGTTAATTTAAATCAAGCCCGCCCCCCCCCCCCATTGTATTCACAAGCCTCTGTAAAGTCTATAGAAAATGTTATATATCAATACATTTTATTGTCATTACAAGTTAACTTTCAATACATATGACAGTATAGGCTATGAATTGTCATATGTATTAGACAGTTGTTTTGTTAAACTCAACACATATTTTCTTGGAAAAATACTAGAAAAGGTGACAGAAACTTGTTATTTTACAGTGGACACACATTGTATTGACTAGCGTTTTCTTTGTATGCTAAGCGTAGCGGGAAATGCAACACCGTGGAAATGATGAAAGGATAATTATGCATTGCAAAGGCTAGAAGGCATAACCTGACTTGGGTACAACTACAAGGAAAGACTGTCATCTGAAAAAAATATATATACGGCCTCATTGAAGTGGAATAATATTTCTGACAAAACGGTACTCTCAATTCATGCTAGAAGGTTCTCATTTGTAATGCCAAATTGAGATAAATAATCAATATGTTATTTTAGAATGCATTCTTTTCACTGTATTGGGGATGGTTGGGAGTTATTTTTGTGACTAGAGTGTACTTTGTATTAAACATGGCTTCACATGCCACCAAATCTCTATTTGTGTGAGAGTACTATAGGATAAAAGCACCAGAGATAGATCGAGGAAGGATCTATTTTAGGGCAGATCTATAATTAAAGATAAACTTGAGTTCTGGTAATGCGATTGCATTGTGAAAGAAAAGGTGTGGAATGGATCAGAAAAGTTGATCATATAGCATGTAAGTAATGGTGTGTAATGCAAGGTTCTGGAGTCATCAAAATCATCATAAATTTGACAGAGTCTTGGTAAAGTAACAATCACTTACACAGAAAGATGTATATGGGACAACACACATGGTGTCGGGGCCAGTACTACCCTGATTTCCTTATCTTTCTATGCTCATTACTCAGCCAGTATACATTTTCTTCCAAAATTGTTTGGCACATGACATTTATTTGTAATCTTGAACATTTAGTGTAAGTTTCGTTAGATTATGTGAGAATTAATTTTCTTTTTTTTACCAGAACTCAAGTTTATCTTTAATTCATTGATATGAAATCCTCATAGTTAGAAAATAAAGGAAACCGGAAAAGGCAACTACAATAAGAATATTTGTAAATGCCATCCAAGACCTAAGGCAAATTAAATGCTATATTATAAGCATTTCTTAGTCATCTATAGAACAAAAAGTAAACCTTACTCAAAAGAAAATGTATAAGAAATAGTTTACCAATTATTACAGCTGAATTGTTATTTCAGAGAGGTAGTTGATGTCAAGTTTTGGTTTAGTTTTTCCTCAAAATGAGCTATTCAGGGTCTTGTGTCGTAGCCGTGATATCATGATGAGCTGAGCTCCATTGCCATATAAACCGTACTAATTAACCATTTAGTTTTCCCTTTATATTTTTGTTTTTAAATTTTATTTCTTAGAAGTGCGTACCCTCTTTAAAACAGATCATCTCAAATGTCACATACCTATCTATTTGTAAAAGACAAAAGTGAAATATAAATTGGTCTTTCCATTTGATCCCAAATTAGTCAACATAACAACATTCATAATTAGAAGCTTTTAAAAATAATGTCAGTACCTGATAAATTCCTCAAAGGCAAAATTATATTTAGGAAATGAAAAAGTATGCCGGATACTTTCTGATTTTAATGAAGCACTAGAATGAGTTTCATCTTTAATACTGATTAATTTTGCCCCATATTTAGATAATTTGAGCTAAATGAGCTATCCTATTTTAAGGATATCAAGCATCTTACATCAGATAGAAGAGGTGGGAGGCAAACTTGCATTAGTGTTTTTAGGGGATGCTATCATAAGATGTACTTTGTTTACCTCCTGCAGAGATGTCTTTAAATCAGTCATGACAAATACAAGTGATGGGGACCAATATTATGTATTTACATCAATGAAAGATGAAGCAAATATTGTCATATTCCTGCCAAGTGCTTAATTCGCCCTTGTTTTCACGAAGTGACGGTAGTGAGGAAAATCGTAACGCAAAGTGAATGCAATTTTTTTTCAGTACCGTCACTTCTTGAAAAAATGTTGTATGAGATGTCCTACCGTAGCACTCAACACTAACAGGCACCCGGTGCTCATGGGCCTTCAAATCCTAATTCTTGAACCCCCTACATTTCACAATTCTAGAAGGGGCACTTACTAATACAAAAGGGGGTGTTACACAAAGATCTTAAGTCGGACTTAACAATTATGGAAAGCCATTAGCATCTTTGAAAATATTTTGTAAAAATTATTTTAAAAGGCATAAAATGTTCATTCGAATCATTCATATTTCCTATTATGAAGGAGATTTCATGTTCTTGATGTGGAATTTATGAAAAATCTAAAATACTTGATTATCTGCTTTTGAATATATTTCATTTTAAGGCTACAAATGGCTCTCCATAATTTCTTAGTCCAACTTAGAGTTAATTTCTACTTGGGATCTTTGTGAAACACCCCCCGATCCTACTCTTGTTTTACCGTTTGTGCATCGTCTGTTTGAAGCCTGAAGGGCATTAGCACCTAGGACAGAGTTAGTGCCCTTTTGTCTCCAAATAGACAATATGTGTTCCATTTCATATTTTTATTAATCAAATCAATTTAACATTTTGCTTATCATGGAGAATTTGCTTTTACTAATTTAACATAAATTTGCATGTCTGCTCTCACCATCGTTTCCTTTTATTTTGAATAACATTCTCTAATGATAAATTTAATTTCAAACAGTTTAATTTTCTTCACATTCATTTGTAATATTCCTGCATTTTTTTATCATAAGAAAAAGTACTTTATTCATATCGTCACAAATTTAGAATATATCACTGCATGCCTAGTTTCATTTCATCATCATAGTGCTAATTCCTATGCATGTCAACCTCATTTTTATGCATGTCTACCTAAGATGATGAACTGATAAATTTCAGTGATGCTTATCTTATAATGATGAATTCAAATTAATGGAAAAAAATCTTTAAACAATTGTTACCTGATATTTCTTCATGATAGTAGGTTGCCTGTGTAAACTGAGGTAGTACAAGTATCTTGTCATGTTTGTACTTTTTAATTAGTTACATTTCTGTAGAAGTGATTAGGAAGCATTATTCCTCTGGCTACCCTTTAGAATTCCCTAATTTCTGTATTGCAGTGATAGAAGATTGTTTAAACTTTATTAGGCTAGTAGTATTTTTGAAACAGGATGAGCCGTCCTTGGGTATGAAGTATGCATGTTACAAATTACATTTCACGAAATAGGGATATGGTCTACTGCTTAATTGGGGAAAGTAGGTTTATATCCAACATCTTTCATCAAATTGAAATTGAAATTTGGGACAACCTCTATACCCAAAACCAATCTCTTGATGTGTTCCCCAGTGTGTACAAACTAGTATCACCATTGTCTAACTTTCAAAATGTTACATTTTCAGGGAAATTGTTTTTGTTCTGTTAATTAGTGAGCTCAAAATGCCTGTCTCACCACATTTTAGGCTATGATGAAAAATAAACTAAAGCTAGTCCCCCCCTACAATAAAATATATTTATAAACAAAATTATAATAAAACTTTAAAATTATGGAACGCCATTGGCTGTCCATAAAGTTTCTTTAAGTGTATCATATCTTAGGCTAAAGGAAGATGAAGTCAAATTACCCCCCAAACAAAAATAAAAGGAAATTAGCAGCAATTTAACCCCTTGACTTTTAAAATGTCATTTTCATAGACTTGATTCTGCAGCCATCCAGTTCTTGTAGCCAAAGGGATATTAAACTGAATCTGTTGATATTGTCAGCTATGGACTGGATGAATGTTTTAACCCTCTCCCTACCATTCTCTCCAACCTTCTAACAGAACAACTTGATCGGATTGAAGAGGGCATGGATCAGATTAATACAGACATGAGAGAAGCAGAGAAGAATCTCACCGGTTTGGAGAAATGTTGTGGCATTTGTGTCTGTCCGTGGAAGAAGTAAGTTCTCATTATAATCCAGGAAATATCGCAAAATAAAACAGTCACGAACAGTTCATAACACTCATATGTATGACAAGTTATTTCTTGTGAATTTTCTAAAATTTGTATTGTGATTAGTGTTATCTAAATGCAGGGTATTCTACTGACTACTTCAGATTTATGTATACTGCCATCTGCTGCTCACAATGTGTCGACAGCCATGTCCCATAATGCATCCCAAATGATGCGGTACGCTTGATGATGCTTGGGTACAGGAACCGGAAATTGCTCTATGTACGCCTTCTCCGAAAGATGACACAATTGAAAATACAACACAGCAGGGGTAGCGATGTTGGTAAAATACCCTGCCTTTAATTATTTCACTGCATGACACTTTCAAATTTCAACCACTCAAGGAATTTGTAAAAGTGTCATGAAAGTTTCAGGTTTTACAGTAAACCTCATTCATCTGTGACACGTTTAACAACCTAAAAAAAAAAAGCTTCTCGCAAAATAAATGTGGTACATCTCACACCTCTCTATCTTATTACACAGATTACAGTAAATAATAATAACATAATAATAATAATAATAATAGCCTAATAGTCCACTCCAAATTTTATTAAACCGAAACGGAAATTATTTTTGCCCAATTGATCGTGAGCCCGGCAGCCACTGAGCAGCGCCAGATCGATGTTGCTCTATCCCTTATTGTTGAACGCCAAACAAGGTAGCAACAACTCCCATCTTTTAACGTCTTTTGGAATGACGCGGCCGGGGTTCGAACCCACGACCTCCCGGTTGTGTGGCGGACGCTCTACTGACTGAGCCAACACTCCGGTACAAATATGTGTAGGATACTGCAGACATAGCACACAGTCGAACCTGTCTATCAAGATCGCCTAAGGGAAACATATTTAGTGGCCTTTGTAGGCAGGTGGCCTCTCTAGACAGGTTCTACAGTACACATTTCTTTCTTGAGGGAGACCTCATGTATGGCCACTTTCCACAGGTGGCATTTATAGAGAGGTGGCCACTAAGGCAGGTTTGACTGTGTTTGTTTTTCCCCCACTTGCCATTCTCACTTAAAGGTAAAGACCAGTTCTGGTCATGCGATTGCATTGTGAAAGAAACGTTGTGGAATCAATCAGAACAGGTTGATCATCTAGCATACGAGTATTGGCATGTACTGCAAGGTTCTGGAATCATCAAAATGATAAGAAATTTGGCCCAGTCTTGGTAAAGTTACAAGCACTGTACACAGAAAGATGTATATGGGACTAATTGACACATAAATTTTAATAATTTATCAAATATATCAATTAGTAGGCGGTTTCCCGGCAAAATTTGTATCATCACGTATTCGTCAAAACATATTCTTTCACATGATTGGTAATGAGAGCTTCCATTTCATTTTTTGAGAGGGGGGCTTTTCCAAAACTGGGGAATAGCTTTAAAGTAGTTTTCGTTTGCGAAGGCACTTCATTAAATTCTTTTTAGGTGGTTTTCTGCATCATGTCTGAATGTGCCCTTAGACTAGCTCAGTCAATCCTACCCTCACTTCTCCCAGTTTTGCTTATCAGCTTCCTTTAAATCATCCGTCAAGTACAGACATTACATCAACTCTACTGTTTATAAATCACTTGAGTATGTTCTTTCACAATTTGAAGATGAAATGAAATGAGATGAACTTTCACATTGGAACAGAGTGATAAATAAAGAAGATGGACCCAGTCAAGCCCATCAAATGAAAGCTAGACCCCCATACCCAACATCTCAATCTCGTCCCGGAAAACATCCTCCTCTCCTCCCTTAATCCGCATCAGTCACATTCCGGGTTGAGGATGGAGGATGGAGGATGCATGAGGCAGTGACATGATCTTAACCTCAAATGCACTTTAGCAGCTAGACAAGGCCGACCCACTACACAAACTCTCTTATCGAATGAGGGGCTCAGTCTGTCATATTGCCTCACCAAAGCTGAAGATTTGTGCACCATATTGTTGTCCTTCCTTCTCCAGCCGTCACGAGTATGTCGTGACGCCCGCCCATCTCGTACGGCTGCGCATCATTGTGCTATGTGATAAAGCTACAGTGACATATTGTGCTCTTAGCCTAAATTGGCTTGATATTGGCGTTATGATCAAGGGAAACAGATAGAGGGATACCTACGACTCTGTCCCACACATACCCCCCCCCCCCCCCCCCCCCTTTCTGTCTGACAAAGAACCACGTAGAGGCATTTTAACCACTCTTATTTGCATTTTGATTGAATTTTGTTTACGAATATCGGTGGTATTGCCAATCTGTGCTCTAAGCATTAAAAATGAAGGATGTTTCTTTTTAGATTTCTTTCTCTTCAGCGGGTTGAGTGGTATGAGCCGGCTTGATTACTTTATATCAATTTATATCCAAAGATAACTATATTAGTTTATTCAGCATGTTCAAATAATTATATTTGGAGCTCTGTGGAAACATGATTCAATTTATGCTTGCCATGTATACTTCTCTCCTTCCCTCCCCTATCTCTCTATCTCTCTCTTTCCTTCTCTCCCTTACCTCTTTATCTCTATATAATCCCTCCCTTGCAGCTTATTAAATCAAAGCACTGAATGTATCATTTTATTTGAAGAAACTACCTTTTCACTGCGTACATGTATAAGTAGAGCTTTTGTACTTCCAAACCCTTCAAAGAAAACTTCTTTCTTTAGAGTGTTGTGTTTTTCTGTGATAATCTTCCATTTATTATTGAATATATGGTGCACTGAATGTACTGTATTATTCTGTAACAAGGAAAACTTTAAATTAGTTTTAAAAAAACATCTGCCTTGCATTTTATCAACAGGTATTCTTCCCTCATTTATCTGGAGAATTATGTTCAATGTAGCATTGGCATTTATAAGTATCAAATATTGTTGAATAGCTTCTTGGTGTTTTTGTAGATTTGTCATCACCATCAAAAGGATCTATCATATCTAAAACTTTTCATCTGCTTCATCATATCAAAAGTAATTAATTCTCCTTATAGAGGGTTCCATGATAATGTGATATGGAGGACAAGAGAATACCACTAGACATACATACATACATACATATTGGTATTTATTGAGCGCCTTTACAATGACTTTTCATAGTCTGATGCACAGATATGTATAATTTGTTCTACAATATGGCTGCTTGTGGGAACCCTTGATCTATAGCCAGTTTTACTCTCATCATTTTGTTGCTGTTTGCTCAGTACTTTAGCTGAGTTCAGATTTGTTCACTGTCTGTCTGACACCTTATGTCAAAACTAAAGGCAATCACATTTTTACAAGAAATGCTTTCAATCTCGTGAAATTGTATTGCTCTTCACATATATTCCCCCCTGTGTTTTGTTGAAGGAATAATATGCTTGAAGCAGCCCTCACAACTTCCTGCTTTTCTCTCTCTCTCTCTCTCTCTCTCTCTCTCTCTCCCTCTCTCTCTCCCTCTCTCTCTTTCTCTCTCTCTCTCTCCCCTTCACCCCTAATATTGCTTCATCATTTTGTATAATTTCTGCTTCCAATTTTAGTAGCTGTGAACCGCCCGACATTTGTCAAAGACTTTGATGGAGTGCACTCACTTTCTTGTCTTAAAAGTGTTATTGGAATTCCCAGTACGCAGATCAAGTTTCCAAATGGATACATTTAATTCCCTTTCACTCTTCAATCAAACCTGCCCTCAGACAGCACTTAAATGGAGATATATTTAACATCCTTCTTCTCGCTTTAAAAAAAACTCATTTATTTGCTTTTATAAGAAAATATATACTTCTCTTGTTAATGTAATGAATGAGATTGCTTTCTTGTGTCGAAACCTGTTAGGAACATTTATGTCAGGCTTATGAGTATTGTACATCTATTTGTAAATACCAGTATGTACTCTGTGTCATTGAGGGATTGATTTGTGGAGAGGTTGATTTGATATTGAAAAGATGGTTATATATTTCTTGTTGATGAAAGTAAAAGAAATTTAATGTTCTAACAAGTTGAATTTGCACAGAAGAAACACTTTTATTGGTGCAGACAAAGAAATATGTTTTCTTTGTGAACTATCTAAGTACAGTATGCTTTGACAAATGATTTATAGACATTGACCATTAATTCATTCCATTGTGAATTTGTCAGTTAGCATACGTTACCTAACATGGATCTCAGAGTCTCGATACGATTATTAGGGCATTGCCCTATATTTGAAGACGGTATACCAACAAAAATTGTATGAAAGAGAAGGTTAAGTTCTGGGAAGAGGTGAAAAATAATTTGTGAGCGTTATCATTGTTATTATGCAAGTGTGGAAGAACATCAGATAAGACATGTTCCCTGAAAAACATAGCTCTTCAAATGCCTTCATATTCTAAATATGTCATGTACATGTACATCGTAAAACTCGGGGGGGGGGGGGGGTGGGGAGGTGTTTTACGCCACGTGTTCGTGTAGTACCATATACATCTTTCTGTGTACAGTGTTTGTAACTTTACCAAGACTTGGCCAATTTCTTATCATTTTGATGATTCCAGAACTTTGCAATACACACAAATTCTTATATGCTAGATGATCAACCTTTTCTGGTCGATTCCACACCGTTTCTTTCACAATGCAATCGCATGACCAGAACTCAACTTCATCTTTAAAAATCATTTTGATCCCCACGGATGCATGTCTGGGAAAGCCTGTATACAATGCAATCAATTATTTAAATGCCTTCACTGTTGTCAATGTGTGGAAGCGTGCATCCGCTGGACTATTAAAATATTCTCTTTTTCATAGATTGCTGATAGGCATAGCCATACGTGAATTAATTTCAGAATTGACCAGAACGTACGTGTAGATAGTTAAACCAAACAACTGAATCGTGCTGGACAGTTCGATAGCCTGGAGGATCAAAAGAAAAGCGAGCAAAACTTGGTAATATGCATGAGTTCAGATTATGACAGAAGATGAAATCGGATGGGAAGAAAAGATGAGGGAAAAAAAATTGGGAGATAGGATAAGAGAAAGATGGAGACAGGTTAAAAAGGGGGAGGAAGAGAGTGAGAGAAAGAGAAAGAGAGAGAGAGAGAGAGAGAGAGAGGGGGGGGGGGGGGGAGAGAGAGAGAGATAGGGATCAGGGGATGTATTTAACCTATTGATTATTTTTTGATTTGGTAAAATTTGCATCTCAAACTCCATCGTCCATGGGTTGAAAAGGGAAAAAAAGATTAGAAGAGAAAGATATACATTATAAAATATACTTTTGAAGTGATGTTTGTACTCTTGATTGATCATAAGGATTATGCCGTGATTAAAAAGTAAGTCTAGAGTATCGGAGTAACGAGCCAATTCACTATAGTAAAGATGCCTTGTGTATTGTGTTTTTAAAATGCACTTGCATGGTATCAGACCTGCAAATCAGGTTTTACTAGCGGGAACATTATCAATAGAAGTCTCAGCAGGGCTTTAGGCTCTTGGAAAGCTAGCTGCTTGCTGGGGAGTTTGTACAGAAGCTTTCAGTCACGAATAGAATTGACTATCGGAGATAGAGAGAGAGAGATCAAGAGAGCTGGAGAGGATGGTAATTGAAAAAGAGAGAGAGAGGGAGTGAGAGGTTGCTGGTTTCCAGGATAATAATAATAATAATAATAATAGCCTAATAGTCCACTCCAAATTTTATTAAACCGATAAAGACAGGAACAAACAAAGTGAGGGAAAGAGAGATGGAAGGAGAGAGAGAGAGAGAGAGAGAGAGAGAGACAGGAAGGGGAAAATGTGCATGAACACAATGAGGAAAAAATGAAAGGAGAGAAGGAGGTATTGAAAGAAGAATGGAGAAAAAGAGGACAATGAAAGTAAAAAGAATATTGAGAAAAAGTAGTGAAGAAGACAGCGAAGGAAGAGAGAATGGAATGGAGAAAGAGGAGAAGAAAAAAAGAAGAGAAGGTGACAGAAGACATTGAAAGGAGAGAGAGAGAGAGAGAGAGAGAAGAGTTTGAGAAAAGAAGATAGAGAGAAGAAGAGAGTGATTTACCGGGATGGTTCAGAGAACCGGCAAGAGGGACTTCTGACGTGTTTACGTAAAAATGGCCCGCGGGATCTCCAGAAAGACACCACTGATTATAAATAGACAGGGTTAAACAAGTTTATGTTTTTCTTCTATGCGGTTGCTGCGCTGGAAATTAACACTATTTTGAGCTTGCGCATGTGTGTGTATGCTTGTGTGTAAAGAGTTCATTGTCAAAGATACAACGTAGAAGCATACTGTATTCAGGCAGGCAGTATAATATTTTTGATCACCTTCTTCATACAAGAAATTTGCAGAGGGCAAATTGTGTTTTTCTGTCTGTATCTTAATCAAATCAACAATTTGTTAGGAAAGCATTATCAATAACGAGTAAAACATGCATTTTAATTGACCATTAACACAATTCTGCTCTAACCTGAAGCAAGGAATTGTGTCATCATTGTTTCCTCCTGATTTCATGAGCAATTTTAATTTTCTTTAAAGGGTGTGTCTTTTTATAAGAGTTCTTATTATTTATCAGCCAGTCATAAATTATATGTAATAATTGCAATTTATGATCTCAACAAACTTGATAAATGCTCAAAGGACAAGACTACCAGTTACTAGTAATTTATTTTTTATTTTTCTGCAATAACAAGAATGTTATAATGGTATATATCTCTTATAAATCCAGCCAGGATTAATATTATTATTAATAGTATTAATAAATGTCAAGTACCGGATATAAGCAGATAAAAGGTTAGAATAGGAGACCTTTGTAACTCCCTCTCTCTCTCTCTCTCTATATATATATATATATTTATAGTTTTTAGTTTTAATTCTTTATTCTTTAAAAGATTCAAGATTAGAGAGAAGGAAAACAAAAAGTTGTTTACAGCCAACAGATTTTAAAAAAAATGCTGTATTTTTTTTTCAATTTTTAAACTTGCAATTTATTCTGTTATCATAACCTTTAAAGATAAAAAAATATATATAAAACAATGCCTGTCAGGCTCATCAGGGAATGGGATATCCTAAAACGGTTCTAGGAGTCTTTATGAGCCCTTTATCCCAAGTTGCTGTCTATGTCAAAGCATAACTCCTTCCCCTTACTATCTGTAAGCAATATGGGTGAATATTGAATTAAAATGCCCAAAGGCAAGTGGCATTTTTAAGGACACATGGTTAAAGACTGGTCTGCATAGTGCTGTATGCATGCACATATTCTCCTTCTCCTTCTCTGGAGCACTTGCGGTCACTGCTCTGTTGATGTGTGAGTAGACGATGGGGAGGTTCACACGGCAGACCGTCTACTTTAAAGTTAGTCCGTGGTTATTTGGCACCTACAAAATTATCTAGTAGTTCGGGACCTTGAAGTCGCACTTGTGGCTTTGAAACTTTAAGTTACAAACCATGACAGGTCTGAAGATTTAATAGCGTGATAACTATAGGCCTGTCCTCATCAGATCGAGATTGCCAAATAGTCCGCTATTTCTGATCCTGGATATAAGCCCGCCATTTCATTATTTGGCAGGGGAAATCATCCCAAGATATCTTGGGCTAGTTTGCAAAATATCCCGCCAATTGTCTGGTGTGTCTTCACGAGCCCGAGGACTCGCACTATGCGCGAACGCTGGGCAAAATATTTCGAGCTTATTTCTCGAGCTAGAGTCTTGAGCTGATGAAGACGAGATTTGTAACTTCAGGCTTATTTCCCAAATCAGAAATAGGGGGCTATTTGGCAATCTCGAGCTGAGGAAGACATACATTATGAGCATCAAGGGGTGTTTACTCAAAGCTATCTGCTGTGCGAAAAATACTGCGAATGCAATTAATATCAAGGTTACTCAAGTTTGTAGTCGAAATTACTGCTTGAACGGCTCGTAGACTTTCAAAACTTTGAATACATGTACCTGTTGTTTTGGTCTTGTGTTCATGTGCCCTCATCGTAGTCAGTGGATCATTGTTTATAACTTCAATGTTTTGCAAATTTAAGTTTAAACTGTCATGTTCCCGTGTGAACATGGGTGCTGTTAGAGAAGCAGCTAGGGGACAGTGGCACCTTATTAAATATGTAAATTCAAGCTGTGCACTTGTTGGACAATTTGCATCCATTTTGTGAAGTTGTTGGTGTTGCATCAGAACAATAGTGGTGCAGTGATACCACATTTTATCGATTGTGGTTATTTCGTCTGGCGAACACCATAGATGGCTCGATCAGTTCATCTTCTTAAAAGGATGGTTACACATATACTACCCTCCGTAGCTATTCGTGGGAGGGGGGAGATGAGCATGTTTGAAGTTACACATTGTTGTGAAATGAAAGAAATGAATACAATATATATTTCTGCACCTAAGTGTGGATAATATACTAATATGTTAATGTTGCAATTTCATTCAAGTTAAATTGTTATCTACTGAAGGCAATAAGTAGAATAGTAGTCTGGAGTGAAATTAAATAATACAAACATGTGATTTTGAACAAATGCACAACCTTGTAACAGCTGAACTGAGTTGTACATCAACCCAAACAAAATATTAAAATAACTTGCCAGTCACATGTACTAAGGGTCTTACATGCTTAAACTCTCAGGATGTGCATGTCGAGGTGATTTTTATCGCGTATTCTACACAATATCACAGCTTTAGGGTGAGCAGAAAGCGATTCACCTGATCAAGTTTAAACATTGACACATCAGGTTTCCTGGAATTAGTTGAAAAGCAACTATTGACGCTTCTTGGGAGCATGTAGAGTCAAAGCACATGCCCCGGGAGGACTAGCGGAACAAAGCCGCGCACGCTTCCCAGCGTAACACTATCTGCAGAGATATTTACCGAGAAACGATGTAAAAAGAGATGATTCCATTTCTAACGGATGTCTCTGGGATTCTAACAAAGTGCTTTGGTTGAGTGTTAAGTTTCTGTTTTATCATGGCAACAGAAACAAAGTAAAAATCTAACAGTTATGAGAGGTTCATAGTTATTTTGTGCAAGACATTTGACATATCTTCATGACAATCATTATTGGTTATGTTCAGAAATAGAAACATGCAACATTCAGCAAAAAATGTCTACAGTTTTGTTTTCTGTTTGATATTAGAATTACAAAATTTACACATGTTTATTTGAAATATTTGTCTTATGATCTTTATGACATGGTTTGTTTTGAGGATAAAATTCGTACAACCTGGTAATGAATTAAATCTTTTCCAATCTTTCCTTTAATAGTCTAGTTAGTCTGCATTGATACGAATACCAACCACTGAACTGGATGATAATGTTATTGACCCTCCTGATATGTTTATTATTTTTTTTCTTCTTCATTACCGCTATTGTTCATCTGCAGATTGGGTAACTTTGAGAACAGTGATGATCACTAATAATGATGACGATGATGATAGTGATAATAATTATCACCAACTTTATAATGTGCTTATATGACTACAAGAAGGCATCGTCTTTAATTAATGCAATCTTTTTTCCTTTTTTTTTCTTCTGCAGATTGGGTAACTTTGAGAAGGGTGATGACTACAAGAAAACATGGAAGGGGAATGATGACGGCAAGGTCAATTCCCATCAGCCAATGAGAATGGAGGATGATCGTGATGGTTGCGGTGGTAACGCGTCCATGATTACAAGGTCAGTCACTCAGTCAAAATTAGTTCTGGTAAGAGTGAAAAATAATTTGGGTATTTTTCTCATTCTTTCTAATTAATTTTGGAAGAATATCTTAAATTACAATTCACATGAAAATGATTGCTCTCATTTCAATAATTATAATAATACCAGTTTCCTATAAAGCACTTTACCAATAACTGACCAAACCATTTGCAGTATTATTATGACTAGAAACAGTTTAAAACAAATTTTGATGCCACCTATATATGTAGTCCCATATACCAATGTTTGTTTGATGATTGTTTTACCTGACTGCTAAGAAAGCATGTTTATGCTTGGAAGTAACCAACCAGGGGACTGACAGCTTAAAGTTCTCTCCAGGGGACTCGATAAAGAGGATCAATGCCATACCAAAGGGCACAAGTGCATTTACTTGGGTTTCGAACCCGGGACCTTCCAGTTACAAGACCACTGCTCTACCACTGAGCCATTGCGCCTTCTCATTTAATCTACTTCTGGTGATGATAAGAACTGAACTCTTTAAAAAAAATCTAACTCCAACACAATGCAACCAAATATTCATCACCTATGAAATATTTTTGAAGAAAGAAAATGTGTAATTTTTTAGTAAGAAGCAAAATATATAAATTAGGCATTCCACAGAAAGTCTGCACTGTCCATGCCTCGTACATTGTCTACGTGCAACATCAACACACGTTCATATCAGTGGGAGTGAGTTTCAAAGTAGGGGATTTCATTAGATTTTCCCCTTTCCCCCCCAGAGAATCCTGAAAAATTCCATTGGTCACACGAATAATTCTTTTTTTTAGTACAAAAGAAGTTTTCCCTTCCTTGTAATGGTTAATATTTAGCCGCAGAAGATGCTTTTTTAAACTTCTTAATAATTCCCCTGATGTTCTTTCCTTATTCATGAGCAAATCAATTCAGAAAGAATTTGTGTTTTTTTTCCTTTGATTTTGTGGTTTGCAATGCTCGTTTTGATACTTAAGAAACCAGTGGTTTATTTGGAATATTCATGATGTTCTGTAACTGTTGACTTGGCATCACTCTGTGTTGTTTTTAGGGAGGGCGAGAAGAAGTAACTCCTCCATGTAACAACATGAGTTAAAAGGCTTTTTTCGAAAGCATTTGGTGTGTAATTTTTTTTAGAAAAAAATAGTCAAGGGTGTCGGTCTTTGTACTTTTTATTACTGTGGTTTCAATATATAAAAATAATGAATTTATTTTCTTCTTTTAGATCAAATCAAATTTGTAACTTTTTAATTGATCAAAAATATTGCAAAAAGCTGGGTCTTCAAATTTACCTATTAGGCAAAAATTGCAAATAGCAAACGTCAATAACATTTCAGAAAAGAAAATACACTTCACTTCCATTGTACACTTTACAGAAAATTACTATTAGTCTTTTGTCTTTACCTTCTTTTTTCATGGCACCTTTGAACATTATACTGTATGGATAAATGTATGTCGTGACCAAACTACAAACTATGTTAGGTATTCTGAATTTTCTGTTTTTTTTAAAGTTATTTTTGCCCCCAACCTTGCAGTGAAATATCCAACCAATTTATAAATTTGATTTATGTGTCTCCTATCAATATCAGCATCAGAACACCAAATTAATATATGGTAGATACATGACTAAAATTAAAATTTGATGCTCTTTCAAGAAAGAAATAACAGATCTTAAAATAAAGCTATAAATCTCATGTAATTTTCTAGAAATTACTAATAGATGAATTTGCTAGATGATGTACTAGTATAGGCAGGTGTTAGCATCAGGTATATCATGTCTTAGTTGCGATGCAGGGGAATGATCTGTCTTTGAAATCAGGAAATACCAAAGGTTATATACCCTTCAACTTTACGGATACATTTCAAGGGCTTCTTTCTGAAGATGGAATGTAATTCAGGCTCATCGAGTAGCAGACCGGATGAACATTTTCCAGCTACACTGACCATCCTCGCCTTTACATATAAATGAACAGACAGTGGAACAACACTTATGCCCCCCCCCCCCGACACATGGATGTTCACACTGTTCACGCTTACGTACCAGGCAAATATGGATCAGACATAAACTCAAATGTAGTTCAGACTTGTTGAGTAGTGGAGAGATGAACATTTTACAGCAATATAGACTTAAAACATATCATGCTGGCTGTTCCTGTTTTCACACACAAATAAAAAGACACTTGAATGCACTGGAAAACTCCCTTCCCTTCCCCGCCGCCTCCCCCCCCCCCCCCCTAAAAAAAAAAAAAAAAAAAGAAGAAGAAAACAAAAGACCACTATTCACATATTGGTATATACTGGCAAACATGCATCACTTTGTACTAAGATCCCACAATCGTTGTGTATTTGAGACTATTGATTTGTTTCATTGATTTGCTCATCTGAAGTAGAAAGTAAAATTAGATATTTAAATCAGTAGGTTCAACAATAAAATATTTCTTGGCAATATGGGGGGGGGGGGGGGGAGGTACCAATCACTAATGAATTTGTGGCTGTGAACTATCACATTATGTCCTGATAGATTGTAAACAAACGTGGTCACTAAAAATGATAACCCTGGTACCTTCTTATGTGAGCTCCGTATAGTTAGATGTTAATGCTTTGAAAAGAAGAATTATACATGTACATTTCAATATGAATTATAGTCCTTTCTGATATAAGGATTCTTTACTCTTAATAAAAGCTTGTCATCAAAAATTCTGTTCCAAATGTATAGCTATACTAAACTTTCATAGTGCTGGTGTTTAATATTCAACCAACAGCAAATTGGTTAACCTACTCTTGTTACTTGTTAGGTGCTAAGAAAGGCCACAATTTAGGGTACAAATTAAGACTGTGTTATTACACAAGATTAATCACTTGTGATGTTGTGATATAATTACAATTTTGGAAAATTGAAAGTGATTTGAGAGTTATGTGCTCCAGACAGGTGTTATATATCGAACCTTAAGGCAGTCCGCCTCGATGAATGGAAATACCAAAGGTTGCCAACTTGATTGCAATCCGAACCGACTTCCTGATGGAGGTTGATAGGAGCGTTGAAGGACCCTTATTCAGCTCTGAGTCTGTTGTTTAAGATGTGATATTTTCTCTCTAATTTGACCAATTAAATGTTATAAAGATACAAGTTCCTCACCAATATTAAATCATGCATTATATAAAACCGCCTTAAAGAATAGTCAATTGTAAGGTGTTTTTTAAAAAAGCATTGTGCTTCTTTTTTTGTGCACAAAACAGCTTCATATGATATGTTATAGCTTTTGGTCATAACCACGTCCGTGCGCAAGTCACGGCAGATGCGTACGCGTGCGTCAAAAATTAAAATTGGTCAAAATACTTATTGGACCAATTTACTACACGTTTCAGGCATTTTCGAACATTTCAAAGTTTTGCTTGCGCGGACACATGTGTGTTGTATGAGTGGAGGGTGGATTTTTGTATAAATCCAAATCTCCCATTAAGTTTCTACATGTGTCATGTCTCGATCAAAGCGGCAGATCACCTTTTCATCGCCGTGACGAATTTAATGTCTAGTTTATTCTTATTATTATGCATAGTTATTAGTTATAATCATAAAATAATATTAATAATTATTTGAACAAAAGCTTCCTACAGGTGCTCCCCCTTTACCTTCTACTAATTTTCACAGTTTGTTTTAATTAACTTAACATAATGCTCATGATTTGTATATTTTAAACTGTCTGTACTTCATCACATGTATATATTTGTTCACTTTTTAATGGAAATAAAGTCTTTTGAATTGAAATGAATTGAATTGAATTGAATTGAATTTCATGTACTTTTATTGTAAACTAAATGCAATTCAGCTCTCGGGCTACCATTTTCAATATTCTCATTAAACGATTCAATTCAAATTATGAAGTGATAAGAGTCGACTTTATATACCTGTGTCTGTCTCAATCTCATCTGTAGAATAACAAACGATGCCCGTGAGGACGAGATGGACGAGAACCTCACACAGGTTAGCGGCATTGTGGGTAATCTACGTCACATGGCTATCGACATGCAGAGTGAGATCGGAGCGCAGAACTCGCAGGTCGGACGCATCACCAGCAAGGTAAGATACAAGCTCTGGTACCTGTTTCACAAAACCTTTTTCAGTGACAAATTACAAAAATCATTGAAAAATCTGCTGATAACCAATCAGAAGCAATGATTTCACTAGCTTATAACAAACTCTGACATATGTCACCGATGACAAGTTTTGTGAAACGCCCCCCTTCAATGATCCACAGCTCCCATACCTCCCTTGCCACATCTTTCATGCGTAGAACATAAAGCTGCGGCTTGAAAAATGTTGTCGTTTTTGGTTGGATCTCTGCACGCAAGCGCACTCGAAAGGCACGGTAGTTCTGCAAAGATTTAATTTGTACTGTGGAAAAAGTCTTAAAAGCTAATGGAAGAAGCCAAGCTATGTCTCATTTAATTTGTCAGTTTACCTGTCTTTGATTACAACGAGCATTAAGCCTGCATAGCCTGATTTTCCTTTGCCTTGATTAATATGCTGACACTGCCCCCCCCCCCCAAAAAAAGTTTAATTTTTAGAAAATGCCATATATCGATTCATTTTGGGTTATTTTATTGTCTCAAATCTGATCAACCACATTGATATAATGAGGAACACCATGTTCTTTGCCATGTGTTTCCTTGGCTTTGGTTGCCTCGGCAACATAAATAAAATATTACATCTTGTTATCTGTTTCATGCCAAAAGGGCATTTACTCTGTTACGAGACTTGTATTAATGCCTTTTTGGCACTCAGCAGAGGATGAATACATTATTGTTGATGTCATGCCATTGTGACGATTGTTTCATGATTAAACTTTGTTTCATAATGTTACATATTGATATTTCAATATTTCTCATAAGCCTACTGTATATCTACATCACTTACAAGCAGTATCTATATTGATATTTGTCGTCAGATTTTCCATCTTTTATAGGATGTAATTGTTAACTCATAAAATCATGCACCTCCACTTGTGATTATATGGCATCGCATGGTTTTAATTCATCTTCATGAAAGCAATATTTTATGAAGTACTTTCTTGTATTTTGGCATCGCTTGGAACAGTAATTGTGTACAATTGAATATTTGTGTGCAATATGAAAATTTGTAAGCCATTTTTGTTTTTCACCTTTTTTAAAAGCAGATCTAGGCAACAATGATTTTTCTTATACAGGTGTAGATTGTATTTGTTAAAAAACGACAACATTAATGAGTCTACTTCATGTAAAAGTAGTTGTCATTTCATTAGATTTAAACGTATGGAATGTTAATGGAGGAAATGTTGTTATATCCAAAGATATGTAGAATAAAGATAGCTAGTGAAATAATTATTAAAAGCCTATGATTTCCAAAAAGTGGGTAATACTGGCTACCCAAGAGAAACATCCACTTGCTACCAAAGTGTCAGGTGAAAATGGGGGGAAACTTAAAAACTGTAAAGTAATGGATTTGCTACTTTTTGACACCATGATGTGATTTCCATATGTATTATGAATGGTTGAGTATCTTTCGTCTTTTTAAATGAAAGTATTCTGATGTTCAGACAGTTTATAAAAATTGTCCACTCTGAACTTGTATTCTCATCCCCCAATATATTGAAAAGGTCCAATGATATATCATGTGTAATAATGTCAAAACTCTTCATAGACACAATACCAATTTGGTGTCTTCTTGGATGTTTCATGCATTTTGTATTGCCTGGCATTGCACCAGACACACAAGCACATTTATAGTTGTTATAATCTTCATCACCCTGTACCTAAGATCACTGCTTTTTGTTCGTTATGAGGTATGCATTTAAGTTCTATATTACAAGTTAAATCATCTGGTTTAGCTTCACAAACTTATGATGAAGTTCTATATTGTTCTCAAATACTGAGTTTGACACTTTTCAAAATTTGAATAGATTTTTATGCTTTCTGCATGCCTTCTTTTTAAACGTATCACTCCAGAAAAAGGAAACCATATTAACTCAAAAGATCAAAAGTATCTGCAAAGTATTAACTGCAAATCGATCTGTAAAGTAAACTTCAAGCATGATAACTGTATTAATGACCAACTAATAAACATGTTACTTATCAGAATAACTGTAGAATGTACAATGATTGAAATTCACTAAGATTTTTTTGTATTTATTGAGTTAGTAGTTTCTTTTGTTTTCAACATGATTATAATGGTTTTTTTAGATTGATTAACATTACATTTTTCCTTTTTCATATGCCGATGGGGTGGAGTTGGTTTGCCAGAGTCTGATCATATGTGTTTAGAAATTCATTGGTTTTCTCTATACAAAACAAATTTGTTGATGCTGTATGCCGAAATCTGACGGAGAACAAGACAATTTGTAAATCTCTTTCAGATTGGCTTGAACATATGAAAAATGCACCAATCCGTACCATTAAAAAGACCTTTGGGATTTTTTATGTCATTTTTTGTCTAATGATACCTTGCCATGTATCATGCATGACATCTAGAATTTAGAGAGAAGAAAATATTGATGTAATACGGCCATTATTAGAACTTTCCACCCACTCAGTAAAGAAAAACAAAATAATTTGACAATTTTGGTGCGTGCATGATGGATTCTGTGTTATCCCACACAGCGACCCAGATGCATTGATCACATATATATACTCCCGCAAATATCATCTTTGTTTTCCCCTATGGATTATTCAAGAAGTTCTCTTTATAATATTGGTTGCTGTTTCAAAGAAAGAGGATGAGAAGTAGTTATTCAGGATTTTGAATTACTTACACCCACTCTCCCCTGCCTGTTATATATCACGCATTTCAAAATGACATCATATCTATTTCCGTTGCATTACATCATGGCTGAAACCAGGGGGAAATTGTGCATGCCTTTTCATAATATTCCTGTTGTCAATTATTTTGTTTTTCTATAACTGTACAAGGAATGAGCATTGTTCATCATCATACACATATGTAGATTACGGAAATCAACTCCACCCCACCCTCCTAGGGGTGCATGTGTTACATAACAGCACCTACTTTGTATTTATGTAGGTCTAACCATCACCCTTTACATATTTCGATAATTAATTTCTTAATCATGTTTACACCCTTTTTGCATCATGGAGTCATAGCTTTGAATGATTAATGCTTTTATCAAATTACACTTTGTCATTCATTGATTTTCTTTCCTTCATAATTTTAACTCATTCATTCTTTTTCCTTCCATTTGTTTTTTTGTACCTCTATTTCTCCCACGCCCTACGCTGCACACACACCCACACTCACGCCACACATGGTTTGCTTCTTGGTGTCATCTTTTATTCTTTCAACCCTCTCTATCCCGTCCTCATTGTTTTTTCATTGTGTTTTTGATGTCAAACTATCAGGGTGACTCTAACGTGGAACGCTTGGCTGTAGCTAACAGCCGTGCTAGCAAGCTACTCAAATAAAGCCCTACGTGGAGTACTATGTGTGGGAAACGGCGTGCACACACCACCCTAATGATGAATCTCAGATGAATTGAAGATTTACCATCACTTTTAGCCATTCTCACCTTATGATTTAATATCGCTTATTCAGCAAAGCCATTCCTGCAACGAATGAGAGAAAACTGATTTGAGTGATTTTTTTTCTGCAGAATAAAATATTCAAAATTTGCTTTTTTAAGTTTCACGACAGCAAACTATTTTTGGGGTGTAACAATGTTTTCTTTGCACATAACTTTTCTAATACGTACTGACAATAAGATTCCAAATGTTATTCGACTGAAGGAATACATACTAAATGCATCGTTATATAGAAGACCTTTGCATAGAACTTGAATTCCTGTGTAGTATTTTCCATATAATGCTTTTGACACAAGTGTGTAGACTGTAGACCAGAAAGGTATTTTCAAATTCAATCAAATTTTAACACAACTCAGACAAAATATAATTTAATGAAGATATGAATGATCTTTATGAAAAAGCTGTATCATCAATTCTGCAAATGAAGAAAAACAAATCTCTATATGCATCCACCAGATTTAACTTCCAACAGCCTGTAGCTCATTACAAGTCATGTTATACAGTGAAGCAAGATATCATTTCAAAGTATTTACGTAAGAAAGATACCAAGAACTTGAAAGGTTTCTAAATGTCAAGAGGGGATCATTGTAATCACCAATTGGGTATTAGTTTGACTCGAGATATTCAAGGATCTTTAGTAAAGTTTGAAGGTCATGTACCTCACTCGTTGTACTCTTTCTATAAAAGTCATCATTAACCAGCCAACCGTGGTTCACTATTACTGGTTTAAAAGTGCATGGGTGGCTTTCTAAAAGCCCTTGTGAATAGAAATAAGCCTTTAAAGTATACTACAATTCTCAACATTATAATAGATGACAGAACAAATCACACAGCAATGAGCCTTTATTATTTCTATCTTTCAACTTTATTATTTCTCAATTGTATACACTTCTTTGTTTTCCCCATCCATATACGTACTGACACTATAACCCTGCCTTTTGGATCATGGCTTACTATTACTTCGTTATCTTAACATATCTACACTTCTGCATGCTAACAAGAATTTAGTGTCTGCTTGGTGCCAGAAGGATGCTATCTTGTATACTTTAACACAGAGTTAATGCCCTTCTGGCTCTGAACAGACATTCTCATATATAACAGTGTGACCCCACCTACTCATATAACCTCATATATACTCGTGGTTAATGTATTATTTAGGACATTATATCGTTTTAGTCCATGTGTTCCTATATAATCATTTGCTTTAAGTTTTCTTTCAAACAGCAAATGTAGTATAAATCTGTCCCTCTTATAAACTCTATGCAATTTATACTTCTCAATGTTAAATGGATGTCTAGACAAAAGTCGTGGTGGTATTGAAATCGCTCCTCATTTCTGGCTTGTTTTATGGTCAGCTGAATCGTTGCAAATATGAGGTGTAGTTTTGAGAGAAAGTGCTTATGTTTCTGGTAAAGTGTTGTCAAACTTGTGATCCACTAATTAACAACAGTGAAAATGGTTTTTGGAGTATTTCTTGTTCTAACATGTGACAGTGGAAAATGGTTATTC